GGGCAAAGGCTGAGTAATTGTGTGGGATGCGGAGCATATTCGTTATTTAACTCCGGGTGGACGCAAAACCATTCCAATAGCATAAAAATGTATGGAGCGTAGTGGAAAATGCAAGTTTTGTACTTCACCCTCTCAGCGTACCAGAATTACCGTCTCAGTGACCCTCGGAGTCCCTTCGCGTCGGACTTAGCGTCTACAATCAATCCTAGCTTTGCCAATAGGCCTGACTCGTCGAAACTAGATAACTCCGCCATCGCATATCAATCCTAGTAAGCTCCGCATTTAAAGTATAAAATTCACCAAGCGTCTGTAGGCACGAGACTATTGTTTGGGCTCAGTGGAACTCCCCACCCGGGCTACTGGCGAACTTCGGAGATAAATACTCCGGAGAATCGCTATACTGTTTGTTTCAGGCCTCAAGATTTTGTTTGTTTTAGGTTTTCCTACGGGCTACCCTACGGCGTCTAACTTCTCCCCCTCCCTTCGAACTTAAATATTACCCTTCAATCGCCTTAGACCGCCTACACCCATACCGCTGGGTGTTTTAGGTTTTATTTCTTTTTGGTCTTTGGTGTTGTCGTTTGTTAGTGCCTATCAAGGGTTGGGCACAAAGCAAAAGCAAAGCAGCCCACCGTGAGTCGGTGATGGAAATACCCCATATAGGTTTATTTGGTCCAGCCAAACAATATTTTGCAAAACATGTTTTCCGGCTTCATATGCAACACAGGGTACATCACCCATATTGAGCACATCAGGAAAACTGCATTCTGCCCTGACAGGTACTGACAGACCTTCGTCAGCTTGTCAGGGCTTGTCAGGGCTTGTCAGGGCTTGTCAGGGCTTGTCAGGGCTTGTCAGGGCTTGTCAGGGCTTGTCAGGGTGTCAGTTGTCAGAGGGTGTTCTTGACACTGTCAGGTTGAGTTTTGTGAGGACTGGCCTTCCGCAAGGAGGCATCAGTCTGAGGGAGGGAGTATCTAGACTTCAGGTATACTGATATAACTTCTGTTTTACCACTGGAGCATAACTAGTGTTCAGTAAATGGGGCACAAAAATGGCCCAAATTCTGTCAGGGCTGTCAGTCCATCAGGAATGTGCAATTTACCTGATGCATGCACAAAACATTGAAAATAACCGGTCAAAGGTCAAACTTGTTTCATGATTGTCCATTGTCTGGTTCCTTTTACACTTTCTCAGTGGCTCAATATGTGTATTGTACCCAGTGCAAAGCACTGTAAGACGAGTTATTCTGGCATGTTTGTCCAATGCCACACTGCTTGCTGTCACACCTAATTTTGGTTGTTCAAGAGAAGAGTCATCAAAATTTTTGTCAGCTCCATCTATAGTCATGCTCCAATCAGTTTAGTTCAGCAATATGCAACAAAGATAGGTCCATCAGTCCACTTTGTCCAGAAGGTCAGCAGCCATTGACTTCACTTCTTCTACTACACCCCTAAGCACAACCTCCCCATCATCAGACAGAATGTCATGGTCCCATCGGGCCTTTGGTGCAACATCATTCACAATGTCGGTAGCACGAGGTATAGCCAGAGGGGTGATTCCACTGGTGGTAGCATCAAAAGTGTATAGGCAAAATCTTGGGCCCATCACACTAATTCCGTACAATTTGGGTGTATTGATGTTTTCAGTGAGAGAGCGGAATCGCTCTCTCATCTGTGCATCAGCTGCCTCGCGTATCGACATGTTAGCGAGGTGTTGCGGGGGTTTGATCTCAACGAAGAACATGGGAACTTCATGTTGAAATACAAGAAGCACCACGACAAAATTGACGGAGAGTCCTCCTCCAGTATGAGGGAATACGTAGGGAGAGAATTGGGGGGAGACCATGAAGCCTTGGTCGGCAGGGAACAGCGTGACGAGGAGCATGTTGTACGGGCCGTACCACCTACTCTCGTCCGCTGGATGCTGGACGTCAAATGCCCTTTTAAGGAATGGTGGCCAGGGCATGCCTGAAACTAAATCATTGAGTGCTTCATCGAGAAACGGTCGTGAAATGACTTACTTTAGCTTCAATAAAGGGAGGTTGAAATCGCATCGACAACACAGCTTGCTTTTTATACAAGCTTGTTTTTCACATGGGAGGCTGTGCGCTAATCCATTTTCAGGTCTGTGGCAGGCAGTATTGTGCCACTTGCCTTTTCCGTTGCTTCCGTCTCCTTCCCTTGCTCGGGAAAGCTATAACTCCCCTGTTCGCTTTGCACAGGACCTGACACTGAACCCGTATATTAAAGACATCATCTCCAGGCCGATGCTCTTCGTCCTGTTCGAGCTCCGAAAGCAGCTCAGAGATCCGCGACGCTCGAAATGACCAAGCTCGTGGTCACTGACCTTCAAGCGGTATCGGGCCAGAGGGAAGTACAGCCTCTGTCTTCGAACGTGTTCGGAGTGTTGTCCGCCCTCATATAAAGGAACTGGAGACCAACCGTGGTTTGGATGTGATCCTATCCTATCGTATCTAAAATTCTGATTACAATTCTGTGTCCGACACATCTATCCTGTCATATAGTTCGCTCTGGGATCTGTATACTGCATGATAGAGCATTTATGTACTCATACAGCGATTGCGAAGCAAGGTTCGTTGATTGTGTCCCACAATTAACGCTCCAGTACGGTAATATACTGCTTTTATACAGGGGCCGCCCCAGACCGCTTGCGAGCTGTGAGACTTGACGCTCGAGTACAGCTCCCCCAGACCTCCTGAAAAAATGGGTACTATGATGCAGTAGAGGAGCACAAGGCACTTGAGTGTCGCTAGAGCTTTCTGTGGATGCTCTGCCACAAGATGTTACAAAGATTACACGATCATGGCAGTACGAGATACTAAATAGGACATGGCGAGTGCAAGACGCTGGTCGTGTCATAACAAGGAAATCCAAAAAAAAATTACATCGCGGAACATATACCAGAGGAAGGAAAAGCTTCAACCAATATCCCCGACGCGAGTGAGAGCCACGCGACGCTTCTTCTTAGGAGGTTCCGCCTGATTCTCCACGCCAGCGTTGTTGGTGGAGGGAACGCTATCGTCAACGCTAGTCGCTGGAGTGAGTGGAGCCTCGCTGCGTTTTCGTTCATTAGGTTTCGCAGGCGACGAATTCGCCGGCAACGCCGACGAATGGACGGCAGGAGTGGAGACGGGTGTGGCTGAAGGCGTCGCAAATGACGCCTGGTGGTGGGGTGCTGAATGAAGGCTGCTTGGCTGAGTATGATAGGCAGCCATAATCTCGTCGAAGACGACAATGGTGCAGTACCCGTCCCGAGATGAGAGCATTAAACATTGACCGTCAGGAGACCTGCCAATGCGCCAATGTGTTAAGATTGGCGTTGAAGCCATGATTCGAACTCACCAAGACATGTCAGTGAATTCATCATAGTGCAACTTGCTCAATAAACACACTGGTCCTGCTTGCTGTGTATCGTGAATGGAGACGGTGTCCTTAGTGGCAACGGCGAACAGCATCCGATATGGCAGAGCAAAGACGGAACCTGTAGAGTTGGACAGCGTTGGCGCGTGACCGGGAGCTCGCCATTTGGCGTCTGGTGGGGTCGTCGGACGTTGAGAATCTGACGCGGACAAGGCCGGGGAGGGAAGAACAGCGGGAGTCGCTGCGGCAGGCCGAGGCGCTGGAGCAATCACTTCGGGAATTGTAAGAGATGGGAGGGACGGCCGGGAAGTAGAAGGCGATGCCAGGTCTGCAGCGGGTGTCTGGCTCGGGCCTGCAATGTCCACGGAGACTTGTTCCTCTTTACCTTTCTCCACGACAACAGTTGCTGGCCTTGCAGGGGAGTCTGCCCCAACTACTCCGGCTCGGAGGTCGTAGAGAATCGGGGAAAAGCGAACCGCCACACTTGCTTTCTTATGACCGGGCAGTTGAGCAATGGGCGGGCGAGCAAAATTAGCTCGCGAATAGATGTAGACGGACGACGCCGAACTCTTGTCTGACCCTTCGTTAGCAGAAGGATGGCCCTTGCGGCCTCTCGTCGGTTGATCATCACTACCTTTGGATGAACGCGAAAGGCCGGGAATGACAGAAGGATCCTCGAATTGACCTGCCGGTGTCAGCAGGAGTCCTCCATCCGGACTAAATGTCAGACGGCGGAAGAAGTTCGTGAAGCTCTCGTCTCCATAGAGTTTGACTGAAGCCCAAGCCCCGGCCGACGGCTGCATTCTTATAGCGGGTAACGCTGGCATCGGCGATGGTGACCGGCCATAACGACTATGCGCAGCAGGAGAAGCGGGCGCTGTAGAGCTGAAAGATGAGCGCCTGGACGAAGGATGATCAATAGGCGGCGGGGGAAACATCAATCCAGAGGGGGTGCTCGCGATGGATGCAGATGGCGTGAGCATGCCGCTACCAGGGGTTGGCGGGAGGTCCCTCTCTGGCGTTTCGCTGATGGCACAATCGGCCTCGCTGGTCGTTGACTCTCGGCGGGACAGTCGGGGGCGACTGTGTGAATGAGCACTGGGAGTCCTACTATGATGGTGTGGCATTCTGGTATTTCGACCGACCGCGTGCACCTCAAACCCGCCGTTATCGGCACAGATGCTATAAATGTGCATCGAGCGGTCACTGCTCTGGGTAGCGATATACTCGTTTAGCGGATCCCATGCAACACCCTGGACGTAGTGGTTGTGCTCAGCGATCTCGTGGAGACACTTGCCTGGTACACGTCAATTCATGTCGACGCTTATAATTCGAGAATGGGCATACCGTCTTCAGCGGCGAATATCCTCGCCGCATTGTCAGTGCTGCCCGCAATGATGTATTCACCCGTCGGGCTCCATGCCAAATCGTATACCTGCATGGTCGTACACCTAATATACCATGATAAGTGATGCTACCAGATACGGGAAGGAACCCATACCGGAAAGTCGTCCTGGGTTTCCAGAACTCCTTCTCATACTGTAGATCCTCCGGTGTCAAATCACTGCCATATGTTATCCCATGTGGACTAGTCGTAGGTGCCCAGATGATAATCATGCCATCTGAAACGCTTGGGATGAGCAAGAAAAGTCTACTTCCACGGCTGGAACGTACCATCCCCCGCAGAAGCAATCAATTCGCCTGCTCGCTGGTCAGAGAAGGTCCACAACCTAGGTTATCATGCGCACCGTTAGGAGACCAGCGTACGACGTTAACTGCAGCAGAATGCCGGCTGAGCGTCGCGAGGTACTCAATTCGCGGTGGTCGGGGCGCGGGCGTTTCTGTGGCGGAGGTCGACGCGCTCTCGATGACCGACGGCGGAAGGATGTTCGGATACACCATCCACAGCTACGACACGCGTATCGACCCTCCATCATCATATATCACGCGTCTAATGTTGCAAACTGACTTACCCTGACATGATTATCCTCCCCTCCCGTCGCAAGTCTGTACGAATGTGTGGCGAACATCTTGTCTTGCGCGGGACGCGCCTTCTTGAACGGCAAGGGTTGGAAATCGCAGGTGGAAATTGGCTTGCTGTCGTGCCATCGTATTTCAAGAGTACGGACTCGCATTATCGATTATACTAGTCAACAAGAGAGCCAGAGCATCAGACTGCGACGCTGCAGTATAATGGGCGTCTGTATGTAGTCGCGGCAGCTATTGCCACCGCGTACGCCTCGTACGTAAATAGGCCAGTGGCCGCGGCCACCCTGCCACACCTGCTACTCAATACGTTCTACATAAAGAATACAGAGTCGCGATAAGCACGGATAATAGAAGATTATCGTTCAGTAATTGGACAGCCTGTGGCTGCTCGTGATAGCACATAAGACCGCATGTGAAGTGCAGGAGCTTAGAACATCATCTCACCGCAGAGCACTCGCGCGTAAGGTAGACGCCGAACTGAGCAAGAAATCCGTTTGCTCCTCCGTTTCATCCTCTGTCTTCACGCTAGCGCCCTGGATCACAGCGAGGTCTTTGAGGTCCCGCTGCAGAATCTTCGTGAGATGTTCCAAACCAGCTTGCTGCTCCATCAAAATCTACAAGGAACATAAGCCACAATTCCGTATCGACAGACAGAACACACCTGTGCAATCTGAGCCAAACCCTCTTCATCAACGACAGCCCAGCCCACGTTCCCGTCAGCCCGCAGCTTCCCATCTCTTTCCCTCGCTGCGTTGACAGCACCTATCAGGGCCCACAGTTCGTTCAGTTTACCCTTCAGCCGACCGATGCCCCCTGGTCTCCGAATCTCAGCGTCGATATCTTCCAACGCCGCTCGCAGCGCCTCTTCCTCAGGCCGTATAGAGGACGAACGTAGCGCGGGTATCAGGAGATGTAGATGCTGCACAAGCTTGAGAATCCGGTGTGTTATCTGCGCCTGAAGGGCAGCCGCGCGGTGCAGGCGTGAGGAGTTGGACAGCTCGTGCTTCCGGGCAAGGTTTTCTATTCTTGACCTCAGTTCCTGGAGGGCATCTGTCAGACCGGTATCCACATCTACATGAGGAGCTGAGCTACCTTGATCTTTTCTGCGTGAGCAGCAGCTTGCTGGGTCTGGGCTTCAACACGCTTCTGAAGGTCGTCGAAACCTACAGCAAGGGCAGGCACTAAGCTGTCCCCGAGGGATCAGCATCCATCACACATCCGTACAGCCCTTCCCACTCACCAGCTGGGATCGGGGTTCTCGTGCACAGCCTTCTGCCACAATGCTTCATTCGTCGCATTAGGAGGCCGCCCGTAGAGATGTATCTGGTTCGGATCGACAAGGTTGTAGAAGTAGTGCTAGAATCAAACAATTAGGGTATCAGCCATGCTATCCTGAAACTATCCGCCGAACCTGGAATCGGCAATCCGGGGAACTAGGATTCCACGCCGCCATGACTGCCTCTATCCGCTGAGTCAAAGCCAAGAACTGTGATTGGGGGTCTGCAGGCTGGGACGGTACGACAGTCGCTCTGGCAGTACCCAAGAGGCTCCCGCCGCCAAGCACCGACGACCCTAGCGTGCTACCGCCAAGCAGTCCCCCGCCAGCCAGGAAAGACTGGCCTATAGTAGAACCGCCGAATAGCGAATTCTGAGGTTGGGCTTGCTGCGTCTGGCCGAAAAGCGAGCCTGCGGGCTTATTGTGAGTAATCCCAAACAGCGAGGGTTGTGCACCGTTGTTCTGTGTGGTTGGAAAGAGGCCGCCATCGGACTCACCAGTATTCCCAAAAAGATTTGAGCCGCCTGCAGTGCTTTGCCCCAAGGTGCTGCCAAAAAGGGCCCCTTGCGTGGGCGCGTTGGTGTGCGCGTTGGTGTTGCCAAAGAGCCCGCCCCCGCTTTGCTGAGCATTCGTGTTGGTGTTGGTGTTCCCGAAGAGCCCGCCACCGGTCTGCTGGGTATTCGTACTCGTGTTCCCAAACAGCCCCCCGCCGCTCTGCTGCGTACTCGTACCTGTGTTCCCGAACAACCCCCCTCCACCCGCGCTGGGCTGGTTACCAGTACTCGTACCCGTATTCCCAAATAATCCTCCTCCAGGCTTCGTGTTCCCAAAGAGCCCACCACCTTGCATCTGCTGATTCGTGTTCGTATTCGTATTCCCGAACAACCCCCCACCCGTAGTCGGTTGCGATTGGTTTTGGTTCGCAGTATTGCCGAAGAGCCCTCCGCCCGAGGGCTGCGTGTTCGTAGACGTGTTCCCAAAGAGGCCGCCGCCGGACTGCTGCTGCTGGTTGTTCGCCGCGTTGGCATTCGTGTTCCCGAAAAGACCGCTGCCACCAAACAAACCACTGCCTCCCGTATTCCCTGTGCCCTGAGTCTGCCCGCCAGTCCCTGAGGTAGAAGCGCCACCGAACAAGGGGTTCGTCGTTCCCTGAGCAGGTTGTTGCGCGGTGTTGGTATTCCCGAACAGCGAAGGAGCGCCCGATGTTGATGTCGACGATCCCAAGTTTCCAAATAACCCTCCTCCTCCTGTTGTGTTCTGTCCTCCCTGCTGCTGCGTATTTGCGTTCGTGTTTCCGAATAGGCCACCGCCAGTGGTTGATGAACCAAATAGACTCATGACTGCAGGCTACGGCTTGTGCTTTAGACGAGTGTGAACGCGGTAGACATGTTTACATACCGTTCAGTGGCAAGAAGACAGAGAGTGGCGGTGGAAGGCGACGCGTCGTTGAACGCGTCTTTGCCACCGGCACATCCGTGCAAGGACGTTGTGGCTGAGGCCTACACTAAACTTTTTGCAAACTCTTATAGAGGATAGAAACAGGCATGTCGCGCTGCTTGGTGCGTGGATCTATCAGTGCGGTGTTGCGAGTCTGTTCTGTACGTATCCCGCGCTAACCTCCATCTCAGACATCGATGAATTTTTTCACGGTGAGCATCCCTCTCCTGTCTACTCTCTATTTTACTTGTCTGTAAATCCGAGCTAACCTCCGCTCCTAATAGTCCGTGACATCGTCCGTGCAGGCGAGACTACCTCCTCCACCGGCATCGAACGACGGGCAGGTGGCAAAGGCGCGAACCAGGCCGTCGCCGTAGCGCGCGCAGGCGGGCCAGTCGAACTTATCGGTGCGGTGGGGGAGGATGGGCGCTGGGTGCGCGACCAACTGAATGAGTTCGGTGTGAACGTGGATGAGGTGGCATTCACAGATGTAGGTTTCCGCTCGATCCCTTTTTACTTGGGCCGGTAAAGACTTGAATGGGGACGGATCAACAGGAACCCACTGGCAGGGCCGTCATACAGTTGGCCGAGAGCGGGGAGAATTGCATCAGTGAGTAGGAGCTTTCCGGCCCCTTACTGTGAGAGCTCTATGCGCACTGGAGCTAACCCGACATCCCATCCCAGTTCTCTTCAAAGGTGCGAATTACGCCGACGTGCCGTCTCGGACCACCCTCCACTCCCTCGGCAAGCCCATCTCTCACCTACTCGTCCAGAACGAGATCCCCCTCTCCTCCACCCTCTCTTACCTCTCCCTCGCCCATTCCGAGGGTGTCTCAACTGTATTCAACCCCTCTCCCATGCCGACCCCCGCCGAGCTGCGCGCCTTTCCGTGGACGCACGTCTCCTGGCTGCTCCTCAACGAGGGCGAGGCGGCGGACCTGCTCACCGCCCTCGGCGCACCACACGTCACGCCTTTCGAGGAGACAAAGGAGGGGCTGCCCAGCACGCCTTCGTTGTTGACGTCCTACTCCGTCGTAGCCCGCCTGTCTCGTCACCCGGCGTTCTCTCGGTCGGTGAATATCGTATGCACGCTCGGCTCCGCGGGCGTGCTTGCTCTTCTCCCAGCCTTGCTGAATCCGATATACGTACCTGCTGCGAAGCTCGAGGGCTCCGTGAGGGATACTACAGGAGCCGGCGATTGCTTCACTGGGTACCTGGTGGCTGAGTTGATGAGACAGAAACTTGCTACAGGAGTAGAGCTCCATGAGGCTAAGATGACTGAAATACTGAGGATTGCGGTGCAGGTGAGCGTGAAAGTGCTTGATTTTACTCAACAGCAGCCTGATGACTTACGTGCAGGCTGCTGGGATATGTGTAGAACGCCGGGGCGCTATGGAGAGTATACCTACACGTGCGGAGGTGCTCGAGCGGCTGCAATCGGAGTCAGTAGAATGCTAAGGCTATTGGAAATTCTGGCAAGCCTGCACCGACTTTGAGGAGACTATGTCGTGGAAACCAGGTACTGAGAGACGCCGGGCAAGGCAGAGCGGTCCCCTTCCCGCTCCGTTGTCTCCAATGCAACTCGTAAACTATGCTAGCCAGGGCATTGCCGACATCCCATCACAGTACATCCGTATTCACAAAACTCGAAATATTTGCGTTGGCATTGATCATCAAATACTAGTCGTGGTTTTCTCCACATTGCAGACGGGTCTTCTGCGTCGATTCCGAGCCAGAGAGTCTTCCTCGAACTCGCCCAGCTCGGGCTGATAGGACGGAGATTCCGTACCTAACACGACGTCGTGCTTCAGGGGTCCGTGCGTTCGGATGTAACCACCTTTCCATCCTCCATTGGGATGTTGCCACATCGTCCTCCTCGGTCTTGTGGTCAACGTTTCTTTCCATGTTCGAGGTCACCAAGTTTGTGGACTTGTCGACGAGTCGGTCCCTGCAGATCTCTCCCCGATCTTTCAGTGACGTAGTAATATGTGATAGGAGTAGAAAGATGCGTTGTGATTGGCCGGTACTGTAAAGAAAACTGCGGCGGGACTAACCGAAAGCTCGTTTACCCGCTCCACACGCCGCCCTGGATGGTATTGCGAGCCAAAGGGCCGGCAGAGGATGCCCCCCTTCGAGCTCTTTGTCTAAATTGAAGTCATTATATCTGGGAATGGGCCATATCCAGAGTTAATATTTAATCCCCGCACCCGGCATGCTGGCACATTCCCCCCGCGAGAATGTCCGCCGTCTTAACCACCGGATCCGCATCCCAGACGGTCCGCAAACAAATAGGTTGGCTAGGGGATATTTACCTCTTCTGTAATAGCTGAGACCTTCCGCCATCGTGCTAATACATATTCCCGCACGCGCGTGTCTGAAGAGGTCTGAAAGCCGACGAAGATAGCAGGTGGATGTGTCAAGCCTGGTTATCCAATTTCCCACTGCTATGTGCTAATTACTGATCGAATTTCATCCTCTGCCCCTGCCCCGGCCTCGCAGCCAAGCTACATATGTCATTTCTGCCCCGGGCCCCTTATAAAATGAGGAGTCGGGGTGGTGTTCAGCAGGCTCTCCTGGCCGCTGTCCCTCTTTTCTAATCACTTAAGCTCTGAATTCTAGTTCGTCTCGTGGGTCCCTGATATATCATGTCATTTAAGCTTGCAGTGGCGGTGACGCTCTACGCGTCGACGTTCTTCCTCGGCGCCTCTGCTGCTCCGAGGAGCCTCGTCGATTGGCTGAACCCAAATTCGACGTGCTCGCAAATCAAGAATGCCTTGTCTTCTTCGTCTGCATTGTGTTGGCCAGGTACGAGCTCCAGGACTACTTGTGCTGATACCCAGGACTGATCAGATTTGTGCATGCCCTGTCAGGCTCGATACATTACACGGAGGATATCGAGCACTGGGCGAGCTCCAGCACGCAACTCTCAGCTTGCTCAGTGGAGCCAGGAACAGCGGAGGACGTCGGGAAGATCGTTAGTGACCCCTGTACTGCACATCTCCCATCTCACGTACATCGTCATCCACAGCTACAAATCCTTGCGGCCACCAATACGTCCTTTGCTGTGCGTGCCACTCAATCTACTCTGTATCATACCTCCTATACCGACTGAAGTGTCTTAGGTGAAAGGCGGCGGCCATGCGTCCAACCCGGGCTTCTCGTCCACCACGGGCGTGCACATCTCCATGACCCGCTTCTCGGAAGTGACGTACCACCCAGAGTCGTCCACGGCCGACATCGGCGCGGGCAACGTCTGGGACACGGTGTACAATGTCCTCGAGGAGCAGGGCGTGATGGTTGTCGGGGGGAGGGTCACTGGTGTGGGCGTTGCAGGATTTACACTTGGCGGAGGTGCGCGTTCGATCTGAGGAGTTTCCCTTAAGAGCATGAGCTGATGCTAGGGTATAAAGGGTACTCGTGGCTGACGAACCAGTATGGCCTGACGATTGACACTGTCGTGGCCTTCGAACTCGTCCTGCCCAACGGGACGGTCACTACCGTTACGGAGTCGTCCAATCCCGATCTCATGTTCGCTCTGAAGGTACGTTCAGACTATCTGCAACCACGAACGTGCTTATATTGTATACTAAACGACCCTTGATGCATCAGGGCGGGTACAACAACTTCGTGCGTAGCACCTATCGCTAGATGGCTGGGTTTCCTCCGGGCATACTGAGCCTTCACGCAGGGCATCGTGACCAAATTCACCCTGAAGACCTTCGCGCAGGGACAAGTTTGGGTGCGTCCGCGCTCTCTCACATCCGCATAGTTCACGACCTCACGTCGCGCAGGGAGGCCTGCTGACGTTTACCGAGAACGTCATCCCGCAAGTGACCGCCGCCGCGGCGAACTTCGCCGCGAACGTGACGGACCCGAAGGCGGGGATCATCACCACGTACAACTTCCTCCTCGGTGAGGTGCGCGTTGGCTGTTCTCTGCTCACCGGTCCCTCGGCTGATGTGAACAGCCGGGAGTGTCCCAGATCCTCTTCTACGACGGCGAGGAGCCGCCCGCGGGGATCTTCGACGAGTTCCTCGCGATCCCGCACTTCACGGAGGACATCAAGACGCGCAGCTTCAGCAGCCTCGTGCAAGCTAGCCCGTCGAACGCTACGTCCGGAACTCGGTAAGCCCCGCTCCACGCAGTAGCCGACGTTTGACGCTGACGCGCGGATGGCGCAGGGGGATCTTCAACACTGTCTCCCTCCTCGAGTACACGCCCGAGCTGCTCGACACCATCGTGAACGAAACCACCGTGCGTCCTCCTCCCCCCTCGATCCCATCCACAACCCTGATGTATTCGATTAGTACTGGGGCTCCACGCTGCAGTGGTCCTCGGGCACCTTCATCTCGTACGACGTCGAGCCCTTCCGGCCGTCCCTCTTCTCGCAAGGCAGCACCTCCACGTCCGCGTACCCGCCCTCGCGCGCACAGCCGCTCCTCCCGCTGAACCTGTACTTTGCATACACGGACGCGCTGCAGGACCAGCGGTTCTACGACGCGATCCGGCAGACCGCCGCCACCATCAAGGCGAAGGTCGGTCGTTCAGCGTTCCGTGCCGTTCCTCCTCCTCGCTGACCGTGTTTGTGCGTGCAGGCGGTGTCGCTGGGCCAGGCCGTCGCGGACGCGCCGATGTACGGCAACTACGCGATATTCAGCACGCCGCTGGAGACGATCTACGGGGAGCAGCTCCCGCGCCTGCGCAGCATCAAGCAGCGGTACGACCCGGGCAACGTCATGGCGCTCGCTGGGGGGTGGAAGATCTGAGGGCTCGTCCGCACGCGTCCCGCGCACACTTGGTTTCTGCACGTATAACTGCATCTACATTTGCTGATCTCTACCCGTTCACTCGTTATTACTGATCCATTCTTTTTTTTTTGCTTGCCGTTACTACGGACTCGAGATCGTCTGCTGTAAATTAGTCGCGCGGGTGAATGAAAATCGAGTGCGCTCTCGGGACCTGACGTGGCATCTTGAAAGGCCTCGCAATGTTGGTGTTGGGGGACATCGATCGTCTTAGAAGTCGTGCTCGCCCCGTGCATGTTTACCTGGAGAGCGCGAGACACCACATATATATTTGGTCGATGGCTCTCGCTACGAGCCCTGGTGCCCAGTCTTGGGCAGCCTTCCGGGGAACGGGCAGGCTCGGTGATATCAGCGACTGATTCACACATGTACTGGAGCGTTGAGGAATACAAGTACACACATGGCGGCGGGGATCGCGAGGCCGGGTATCCAGCGAATCTGCGCTCTAAGCATTCGACACTCGTTCGGGCGAGGGATTCCTTCTACACCGTGGCGCATGTCTTGCTATGGGAAGGGATAAATATTGTGTACACCTCGTCGACGCTTGGAAGTTTACCTCGGGCGAAAAGTGACTGAGTCACTGCATGATACAAGCGCGAGCAATTGCGTTCGAGTGGTGGAATTTGCGATTGATTCCTGGCGGTGACAAACATACATATTCTCGATATGGTATCGTTCCTACCTTTCTGAGTCTTGTTGTCCCACGCCCCTCAAGCCCTTAACAGTTCACCGACGACAACATAGAACTACTGTAAGTACTAGGCCCAGCAGCCTCCCGTCCTCATCCACCCGCCCTCCAGCGGCCCCATGTCCGTCTCCACCCGCCTCTCCCTCCAATTCCCGCCGCGCCCCGCCTCCGAGAACACTGACACCCTCGTGCTCACCTTCCACAGCCACTACCTCGACCTGCGCGTCCTCCGCTGCCCCTCCACCTCCGCCACCTCCCCTTCCCCACTGTCCCCCCCAATCGAATGGGCCTTCGCCGGCACCCTCGCGCACCCCTCCCCGGCGCGCACGACCTGGCAGCACGCCATCGACTCGCGCGGGCCCTCGGGCGTTGACACGGGCGTCTCTACCGCGCTCGACAACGGGGACACGCTCGAGGAGGGCGAGATGCGCGACCCCGACTCCGACACTGGCGAGGTGAGGGCGTATAGGGAGGTGTGGCGCCGCGTGCCCGTCGAGCGCGAGGCGCGCGCGTGGTGTCTCGAGTCTGAGGAGGGCGAGGGGAAGGTGTTTGTTGGGCGCGTCGGGCTGTACTTCCTGGCGCTCGGGCAGCGCGGAGAGGCGTTCGCCGCGCGGAGGTGGCAGTTGGAGGATGGGCGGTGGAGGGAGGTGTACCGCATCAACACTGGCGCGCTCGCGGTGCCCGCGCCGGGGGACGTACCGGAGGAACAGGTACGCGAAGGCGCGGTGGTGCAAGTGAAAGGGAGGGCGTATGTCGTGAGGGAAGCTTACGCTGTCTAAAACACCGAGATACAACGCGGGCATCCGCGTTAAAAATACCAATAGCCCGTGCCGTACGTACACACACACACTTCTCATCCAACCCTTATCTCCCCAGCCCAGCCCCTCCATCCTACCACGAACAAGCACAATGTCCAAACTCGCCGCGACGCGCATCTCCCTCCAGCTCCCACCCGGCGCGCCCTCCGAAGAAACCGACACCCTCGTCCTCACCTTCCGCGCGCACTACATCGACCTGCGCGTCCTGCGTTCCTCCCTCTCCTCCTCCCCGCAGCGGGTGGAAGTAGACGAGGGCTTCGCAGGCACCCTCACGCACGCCTCGCCCGCGCACACGCGGTGGACGCACGTCGTCGACTCCAACGGGTCCGACAAGCTCGACGAGGGCACGTTCACGCTGCTTCCGAACGGAGACGAGGTCGAGGAGGGGCTGACGGAGGCGGGGGGGACGTATAGAGAGGTGTGGCGGCAGGTGCCGGTGGAGGCGGGCGCGCCCGCGTGGTTCCTCGAGTCCACGTCCCCGTCCCCGTCCACCTCTTCCTCTCCCTCCACCAAGGACACGCGTATGGGGGAGGGGGGAGAGAAGGTATTCGCAGCCCGCATGGGCCTCTATTACCTGACCATGGGCCAGACCGGCGCGCGCGGGCGGGGGTACAGCGCGCAGCGGTGGCAGCTCGAGGGCGGCGCATGGCGGCGCGTGTATAAGGTCGGCGGGATGCGGTTGCCGGAGCCGAGTGAGGTGGGGGAGGTACGGGAGGGGGAGGAGGTGTGGGTTGGTGGGAGGGGGTATGTTGTTCGGGAAGCGTATGCTATCTAAAATCAGCAAGGCAAGACACGCGGGGGAGGGGGAGGGGGAGGGGGAAGGAAAGTAGGATTCCTGTCCTTGCTAGCTGGCGCGGCAGGGGTTGAATCAGACTCGGCGGAGCATGCATAGCATATCGCGCAGGCGTTTCCGTCGTAATGACCGCTTAGACGAGCGCGAACATTAGAACAACCAGAAGGTGTGTTCGCGAGGCACTTTCGGTAGAGGAAAGCCAAGCCAGACTGAGGAGGGACACCGCGGCTCCGGGGCGGGATCATGTCCATGTCAATGTCATACATGTACTCGGTTCCTGGCGTAGGAGACGTAAGCGAGAACGAGCGGTCCGAGGTAACTGGGAAAGGCTAGCCAAAGCAGTTATAACATTCTCCGTACCGACGATGCAAGGATCAGGAAGCTAGGTACTGGATGACTACCAAGGGGGGATCCATAGCACCAGGCAACGAAGATGTGCGCCTACGGGTGAATGCAGGAGAGGAGAAAGACTACTAAGGACCTAGTCGGTTATATACTACCATTGAAACAACTACAAATTCTATGCACTGTGGCTGAGGGACCCACAAAGTCTACCAGGCAACCCTGTGAAATACACTGAATCATGAGATTTTCTTCAAATGCATCAAAATTAATACCAATAGAATCCTTAGAGTGTATTCTTTCGTTTAATCACAAAAAACTCTGAGGAATTTAAAGGAGTGGACTTTGCACTTCGACGGGGCTACCACTGGCACGCTAACAACGCCGCGGTACGCGAGCAACGCGGGGCGAGCGCACATCCGAGTCACTCCCTAGCTGTAGTCTACCCGTGCCAAGGGATACGTACGTAGGGACATCAGAACAAAGCCGGTGACAGCAGAGGCTGCCCGACTTGCAAGGCCGCGTATGAGAGGGAGCTCCTTGACACTGCAGTGCCTGAGAGGATCTGGATGAGCACTTAGTGTTTGACGTGTGGCTGCAATTACAATACCAGGTATTGGACATACTGGAATGCTGCAGCTGGCGTGATTGTGACTGGATGTTAAGAAGAGGTATGTTTGACCTGGCACTGGGTACAATACCCATATTGATCCACTGAGAAAGTGTGGAAGAATCTGGACAAAGGTCAAATTTTGTTCATAGTGTTGCCTTGCAAAACAGATGAAAGTTTAATATACAGCACTGAACAAAGGTCATATCCTGTGTCACAATCAAATTTTTGCACTCTCAAAAGTAGTATTATTCTAATCCAGTTCATTGCCTGTGTAATGGACAATCATCCTAAAAAGTTTGAACTTTGACCTGTTATTTTCGTAGTTCTCTGCATGCTCAATATGGGTGATGTACCCAGTGTGGTGAGGTGGCACAAAGGTAGAAGGGGAGAAACGAGCCACCGAACGCCACAAATAAGACACAACTACCAAATACAGCTTCATCGCTTCCAAATCCGCTACCATTTCACACGCGCCACAGTTCAACATCGACACCCTCGATGCAAGTTCCTATTTTATTTATCTCCTTCAGTAATATTATGCTATTGCCGCTCGACTTATAAGTCGACGACCTCGCTCTCTGTACACTATCCGCTTTCCCCCCTTTTGCAATCCAATCTGCGGTCCTCTTCTTGCGCGCGTGTCCGATCTGCTCGCCCGTGCGGGCTTTCAAATGGGCCAGGTAGTATGTTTTCTTTTGCTCTCTTCTCTTTTCTTAAAGCTCTATTATCATCGAGTCAGATGTATCAGGCTGAATGTGCCTCGTTAATTGCAATGACGACCATTGAGCGAGCTCACTGATAGTAGTGAATAGCAGTGCCAGTGCCTCCTCCTAGTTATGAGATTACACCTGAAAACAGACAGCAGCACTCCCAGCAAAGAGGGGTCAGAAGTTTTTAGGGAGCGCCCTCAGCATGATACTAAAACGTGTCACCTCAGGCTGCCCACGATGTGCTTGTGGGCTGCTGTGGGTGTCAACTTGATGTAGGCACGCCCGTTGAAACTGCTGCGACATGCCGCACTGACAGTGCCAGTGACGCGGCGAAGGACCCCGGCATACTGGTATATATGTTTGATCCTAGTGCGGACATAAACGGCCAATTTTGGGGCCCTATGTCGGATATTTAGGCGGACATAAAGCCCAAAATTTCGGTCCATGTCCGATATATCACGGCGGACACAAGGGCCTTGCCGGTCTTGGTGTCCGATCACCTGGCGGACATACCAAGTCGTCGAAGTGTCACACCCAGTAGTCCTTGTACTAGGTTGAGTGGTGTCTCTTATGCTTCTCAGTCAACTGTCAGCTCGTCTCGTGTATATCCAGGTATATCCTCAGCAACGGTGAATGAAATGCAAGCTTTGGAAACAGTGGTGGATCTTAGGAAGACTGAAATACAATATCCCGGAGTAATCATGTCACGATCTACTCGTTGCAGCGTTGGGCGTGTGCCGGTTTCGAGGTTGGATCCGTTTGGCGGACATACCGGGGGGCGCCCGAGCATAGGTCACTTATGCGGACATAAGCAGCCCAATTTGGGCTGACCGGATCCTAGAGGCGGACATATCCGGTCCAAATGTGTGAGGCCATAAGGGCCGAAAATCGGGCACTTAGGATCAAACATCAGTACCCATATGCCGGGGTCCTCGCGGCGAGCACTGCGGCTTCCATTTTATGCCGAGACCTCAAGTTCTCCATGATGCATCAGTGAAGGCTTCAGCTTCTGCCAGGTATAAGAAGGTCGGGTCGGTATCCACTGCACTGTCTCCTACTGTGCTTCAAGGCGAACAGTCACAGTCCGTAAATCAATATGTCTGAAGAATCTCATCTGGTGCGTGGACATACAAGCGATTGGGATTGAACTGACCACGACGACGTTATCTAGGCTCAAAACACTCTGGACACCGTCGTTGTTCGCGGTCTGGCAAAAGACGAACAGGGACACGCGATGGTACTCCAGTTCGCCCGTACGCCTCCTGACGGCCAGAACCCCCTCGTCTGGGGCACGAGGCCCGACGCTCTCCCCGAAATGCCAAAGCGACCCCCGTCGAGCCTGCCTCCCCCTGCACATGCTACTCTAGATATCGTCATCGCGGACGAACTCGGGAGCGGCCGCGTCGGGTGCGTGTACTCTGTGCAAACCGCGCGTTGCTCGGTCTCCGACCATGTCCCGCCGCTCGTCGTCAAGATCACCAACAGAGACCGCCGCGACGAGCTATGCAAGGAAGCGTGGGTCTACGAAGAGATGGAATGCCTGCAAGGGCCGGCATCCCGCGCTGCTACGGGTATTTCACCACCATGCTTCCCCAGCGGACCGATATCGTCTCGTGGGAGCGCCGTCCTACCACCCCTTTCCGATAGGCATACTCCTCCTCGAGCGGGTCGGGGACAAACTGCCGCTGGGAGAGCCTGTCCCACAGGTGCTTCAAGATGACCTCTGGGGTATAATAAGGGATCTCGCAGAGCTGGGCATCGGTCACCACGATTTGCGCTACGACAACCTCTTGATGGCGCCGCGGTCGCCGCCTGGCCTGCCATCGACGCCTTCCCCCTACAGCGGGCGCTCCTATGGGTTGCGTGTCATTGATTTTGACTATGCTTATAAATACAACATGCCGAAGGACAGGTTGTCCGCGTCCTCGAGTTCCTTCGTTGATCTTGTTCTCGATAATGTTCCCGAAGGCCGGATCGTGAATATCTTCGACGAGTAGGGGGGCGGACGCACGGTGCTGCGATGCGCTGCAAGATCGCCGTAGGCCTGTACTTGTTATTATCTTTCTGAACACGATTTTTTGATGGCACGTATCAGTCATCACTAGTGTTTGTGAGTATGTACGGATTCATTGCTTCAAGCCCGCAGGACCGGCACCTCCGGGCTTTCGTAACGCATGAGAGACAAGTCTCGGCTCTGAGTTCGCCGTTAGCCTCTCCCACCACCTCGCGCTCGACCTACCAGGGCCCAAATAACATTATGTGAGGACCCATACGTGCAGGGAGGAGGAAGCTGACGGCGGGACTGACCTGCCATACCCGAGTATTGCAAACAAACTGCGTTACCGACGGGCGCTGCAGTCGGACAAGAGACTGCAAGGGCAAAGCAGACGCAATTGCAGCGGTCTCGGTACCGACGATGCAGGGAACGGGAAGCGCTATGTAGGTACCGGACGCGTATGGGGGAGGGATATCCATAGCACCAGGCACCGGAGACATGCGCCGCCTCATTAGACGATACAGCACGTTTGGTTGAAAGCTCGGTGCGGCGGTTAGAGAGAGCTCGGAAGAGCCTTCAAAGAGACATCACCTTTGGACTTGTAACGACTCGTGACTTGGACTGCGTCCCCCGAGTCAACAAGGTGTCAAGACATGCATATCCGAGGCGGACCGGGGGCTGGAAAGCGCGACATGATCCGTAAGACGGCTTCGACGCGAGTAGCCTTGTTCGGCAGCACGACAGGGACAGGAATGCGCGAAGAAACTGCACGAGGGTAGGCTCAGGCTGTATGCGGGTGCCAAACCCGGATGCGTTGGATGGAGTTGACAGCCACATACGTATGGACCTGGTGGAATGACAAGCAGAGACCGCGGTTGGCGTAGAGCGCGCAACCCGAGCGCGACCGCTGGTACCAAGGAGTAGAGGGAACATTCACTCTAATTGGTAGGCGGACAACAGCGGAGGGACCCGAGTCTGGTCAGGAACATCATGCTGCAGTCAGACACGAATGGCAAGCGGAGACGAGCGCATCCGGTGTACTGGACAGGGCTAGCAGACCGGGAATGGCAAAGCAGGCGCAGTTGCAGCTTCAGCTTTCTCGGGACGACGATGCGAGGAACGGGAAGCGCTATGTATGTACGGGTCACGACGGGTACGAGGGAGACATCCGCCGCACCAGGCACCTGAGCATGGCATACGCGCCTGCGGACGAATGATCCACCTTGGACGATACGGCCAGTTGGGCCAGGAAGCGCGGGTGGGGCAGTTAGGGAACGTCTTGGAAGACACTTGAGAGTACGAGGCGTTGACTTGAGACGACTCGCAACGTGCATCATGTCCCGCGAGCAAGCTGGGTGTCCGGATACCCAGAGAGGAGCCGTGCACTGCGGTGGCGTACTTGACTGCCAAGATACACTCGAGCTCGGGACGACTGGCAGCTTGGAGTGTCTCCCGCGAGTGGGCAAGGTGTCCAGCTTCAAGACGGACCGGAGGCTCGAAAACGCGACATCTCCGGAAGGAAGCTCGAAGAGGGTGACACTGACGGCTGGCATACGTCGAAGCACCGCACGACCATCCTTCCCCAAAGCTTTCAGTAGGGTGGTGCTCTTCATGCCCAGCGGGAAGTCGACAGCGGCGGTACAGACAGAACCAACGACAGAATATAGCAAAAGCCTGTCCTATCTGAAGGTAGAAGCCAAATGGACATGCCATCATCCCGACGACGGATCGCCAGATCCCCGAGAAGGACTTGCAGGAATCTTCGATTCGAGGATCATCGATCACAAGTCAGAGCCCTTGATATGTAGTCAACTACGCCCACCTTACCCCAATCCGGGACGCAGAGGAATGACAACGGGGGGCGAGGCTAATACCTTGTATAGGAACGACCTAGCATGAGAGCCCACTGCATTTACACGACCGTCGCAGAGAGGTGAGTCCTGTGGCTGCGGCATGCACGCCGCGCGTGGGAGAACCCCCGACGCGTCGGCTTAGTCAGCAAACCCTTTCACCTCATTCGCCGAGCCAGTCGATCGCGTCGCAGCTCGATGAAAACTCTTTCACGTTCCCCCGACGTGTCATTGCGCGTAATTCGGTACATAACAGACCCTGGGCGCGACGATCCGCCAAACCGGCGTGCAAGGCAGCTTGTGGTGTACACTGCCAGGCGTCGTTGATTCGACTCGCTGCCAGTCCAGGAGAAGCTTTGGTTCTGCGGGAAGACCGGCATTCCATTCTAATTTCTCTGTGATAGCTCAAAAGAATTCTGAGCGGGGATTACCTGGCCTCGAGCGTCAAGGTCAGGGTCCCGAACGCGTACGGAATTAGCCCCGTTCCATTCTATATTCAACCCACCCCATCCACCCCATCACATCCCAACTAATTTACGGCACGTCAATTTTTTGCAACACCGGGGACCGTTTAAAGCGCGCCGTGGCCGCAGCATGGGGCCATCTGCTGCTCTCCCGTTCCCTGCTCAGCGCACCGGCCCACGTTCGTTCCCCCCGCCGCTCTTTTCGACAGAACCGGTCTGCCCTAGTCTGAAACTGAACACGAGATGAAGTTCACCTCCGTCGCTGCTGTCCTCGCCGCGTGCGTCCTGTCCGCCAGCGCCGTCGCGACCCCGACGAACGCCGAGCGCATGAAGCGCGGCCTCCCGCCCGCCGCGCCCAAGCGGCGCTTCAGCGCGTCCCACGTCCAGCGTGCGTCCTCCTCCCGTCCTTGCGGCATTGCACATACACTATACTGACACCGCATCGCGCCATGTAGAAGCCAAGCGCACCGCGCCGAGCGCCACACCGCCGCCCAACGGCGGCGGCGACATGAGCGGGAGCTGCAACACGGGCCCCGTGCAGTGCTGCAACCAGGTGCAGCAGGGCAAGAGCGTGACGAGCATACTCGGGTTGCTGGGCGTCGTCCTGGACGACCTCGAGGCGCTCGTCGGTATCGACTGCTCGCCGATCGACGTCCTTGGGCTCGGCGGAAACTCTTGGTGCGTCGCGCGCATGCGTACCGGGGCAGATGGCTGATGGTCGTTCTTTGTTTGGTGTAGCTCGGCGCACCCCGTGTGCTGCGAGAATAACAGCAACTCGCTCATCTCGGTTGGGTGTATCCCCAGTACGTCCTCTGCTCCCACTCTCAGCCTGCCAGCAATTATTAATTAACTGCACCCGCGCCTCCCAGTCACGCTCTAAGCCCGCCCGCTACCCCGAAGCGAATAACATTTACTCGCCTCAGCCAAGCCCCGCTCTTCTTTCGTTTCTTCTCCTCTTTCCTTCGTTCCTCGTCGGACGCTCTCGCTAGTTTAGGATAACGCTGTGTCGCGTGTTGATTGCATAGTACATCTACGTATTGCTACGTGCATGCGGGATAGTAGTAGTATGGCCATGCGGATCCGCTGGACTTAATGATACCAAAATTCACTCGCTGATCATGCAAGTCTGACGGTCTTCAAACGTGGCAATGCAAGCTGGAGTGGATCATCGTTGAATGGTTCCTGGTTTGTTCGCTGTCGGAGCGTGCGGTTCGCTTCCGGGATGCCAGCACGACTTGGAAGGCATGGTGGGCGTCGGCGTGCCTTTGAGTCCGGACAGCGTCGCTCCTGTCATGTCCATTGGCGGGCGGAGGGGAAGTCGAATCGGCCGGTGCCACACCGGACGGAAGCAAATGTCGCCGGCCGACGCGTCGCGTCACCGGTACCGTGACACTGACGGGCGCGTCTCATTTGTTTGCTCGGGATTTCTTGACTACCCATCTGGTGTCTCACTACTGTGACACTGACATTGCCCGGCTTCCTGGGTTCGTCTTGGGCGTGACGGATGTCTGCACGCGCGAAGCCGAGGTCGGGATCAAGGTATTTCGACCAAAATGGGGGGGAAGACAGGTCGCCGAGGAAGAGCGTGGCGCGGAGGAGTATGAAGGAGGCGAGTGAGGATGAGCTGGAGGGGGTGGAGGAGAGGGGGGTGCGGATGGATAGCGATGGGGAGGAGGTGGGGATGGATAGCGATGAGCAGGAGGGGGAGGGGGAAGGGAGGGGGAAGAGGGGCCCTGCGTCACCCGTGAGGGAGGCGTCTGCGTCCCCGGAGAAGATTCTGAGGAAGGGCTCTGCCTCCCCGGTGAAGATGAGAAGGAGAAGGTCGCCCCGGACGAGCATCTCGCGGAGGGGTGCGAAAGAGGAGAGCGAGGGGGACGAGGCGGGGATGGATAGTGACGACTTGGACGAGTTCTCCGAGGAGGAGGAGGAGGAGGAGGGTGCGCGGAAGAGGAAGCGGAGGGTTCGGTCCTCGCGTGCCAAGAAGTCACCCGCGAAGAACGCGTCGCCCAGGAAGAAGCGCAGGACCACGACCCAGGCTGGCAGCGACTATGAGGACGAAGACGCCTTGGAGCTCGCGGAGGGCCAGGAAGTGGTGGGGGTCGTCGTGCAGGCGCCCAAGACCGGGCGAGGTACGTGCTAGTCTGCGTATAGGGGGTGTGGGGGAGGTGCTGATGATGTGTGAAAGTCCCGCCGGGGCAGGTGTCGCGGAATACGCTGGATTTTCTGAGGGAGCTGGCGAGGCCGGAGTGTAATGACCGGGGGTGGTGCGTTTCGTTCTCGTTCCATCCTTTCTTTTCCTTGCTCAAGGTGTTCACCTTTCACCATTTCTGCAGGTTCAAACTGCACGGTACGTTCTACACTCTTCCCGATGCTAAACAAGGAGGTGGTGGTTCTGATGAGCTGATGATAGAGCCGGTATACCGCGCCGCGGAGCAGGAGTGGAAGGACTTTGTCGAGGCGTTCACGGACCTGCTCGTCGAGGCGGACCCGCAGATCCCGCCGCTCCCGCCGAAAGATGTCATACATAGGATTTATCGTGACGTGCGTTTGCCTTCGTCCCTCCTTTCCTGCTTTCCTGCCATCCTTCCTGTCTCCCTGCCTCCTTTGCTGCCATCTTGCCCCGTTCCTCTGAGGGATGAAGAGCGCCTGGCTAACTGGCGTTGTACAGGTGCGCTTCAGCAACGACAAGACGCCGTACAAGACGGGGTTCTCGGCGAGCTTCTCGCGGAGCGGGCGGAAGGGGATATTCGCGCATTGTAAGCAAGCCCCTGTGATAGTACCCTGCGCACTCTCCTCACTGCCTTTAACCCGTACCCGTGCGCTTTCGCGGGCAGATCATATGTACGTGCACATCCATGCAGAATGCTATGAAACGCTATGATGGATTGATTGGATTCCCTACACTACAGAGCGGGTACGCGTGATCCATAGTTCGTGTATGCTCTGGTTGAATGAGAGTAAATGTTGCAGTGAAGCCGAACGGCGAGAGTCTCATCGCTGCTGGTGCGTGGTGCCCAGGCAAGAACGAGCTGCAGACGATCCGGTGCGCCTCCCGCAGCTTTCATATTCGTTACTTATGCACCTTACTGTCTTCTGACTTGCTAGGAATAATATTATGCGCAACCCCGCGCGCCTGCGCGCGGTCATCTCCGCGCCCGAGTTCGTGGGGTATTTCGGGGAGCCGAGGCCGCACCCGAAAGGCGCGCGGAGGAGTTTGTGGGGGTTCGAGGACGAGCTGAAGACGGCGCCGAAGGGGGTTGATAAGAATCACAAGTGCGTCTAATTCTCGCACGCTCGTCACGGTTGGGATTGATGATTAACGTTGGGTGGCGCAGGGATATTGATCTGCTGAAGCTGCGCACGTTTGCGGTGATACACCGCTTCCCGGACGAGGTGGTGCTCGAGCCGGGGTTTAGGGAGGAGCTTGCGAGGGTTGTTAGGGTGGCGAGGCCGTTTGTGCATTGGTAGGTCCTGTGGTACCTCTGCTCTTACTACACTTAGGTCTGACAACTGGGCAATGTCTAGTTTGAATGACATGATGACTATCCCGCCGGATGACGATGATGATGACAATGGGTCCGGCGGCGAAGAGGAGGGAGAGGAGGGAGACGGGGAAGAGTAGGGTGGTCGTGTCCCGTGTCACTGTTCTTGGATTGCGTATTGTAGCTATTGCCTTATATTATTTCCATATTACCTTCGTTGGTTATTGCTGCATCGGTGAAGGGCAATTGAATTGATGTAATGAAGGATGGTGCTAGAGTAGCGTGCGGGGAGGGGACTGGGACAAGGCTCTCGCAGTCGATGACCCTCGGGGCAAGCCAGTGTAACAGACAAGCATTCTGCCAACTTAAAGCGCAGCTCGGAGCGCACATGCGGAAAACCACGGAAGATTGGAATATATTGCGTTGCGAGCAGCCGTCTGAATTCTATGACTCTGCCTCGCTCTGTGACCCAGCCTGCTCTTTCCGTTCTCGGTACTGCTTCGTCCACTGCGAACCGTGAACGAGGCGATGAGCCAAGCTCCATCCAAACAACTAAGACGTAAACTCACCAGCATTGAAGGTATCGGCCTGATAGGCTCGACGTATCGGCGCTTCGAAGGTTCGCCGTCTCAGCCCGCGAGCACATCTCAACCGAGAAGAGACCGCACGCACCTCCCTGTCTGCGCTGACCTGCCACACGCCGTACGTCACCGCGAGAATGCCGGCAAAACAGATCGCAGTGTTTGCCTTCCAGTTCGACGGGCGGGTCCACCAGCCGCCTGTGAGTGGTAGTGGTGAATCATGGTGCTACGCGAGATGTGGGAAGACGTACCGGCTGGGGACCACACCTCCTTGGGGTAGGGATATCTAGCACCTCCTCCCTGTTCACACCACAGCCTTCAAACTATACGAACACGGCTATACCAGCAAAGCTTACCATAGCGCAGGCGTTCTAGTCGGTTACTTTCAAAGGTAGTTCTCGTTGACCGTCCAAACCCGGACTGAAGATGATTACGTAACACACATGTAGGCACGTGTTTACGCGCGCCTGGAATCCCTGTCAGTCTCCGGCGCTATGCATCTGACCGGCCGCACTACAGGCCATGCTCGAGTCCACGAAACAGTACGTCTACGACCGCCGGAAGGGCCTGCTGAAGGGCGCGGGATACGCGGGTGGGCTGTATCTGCTCAGTCAGTATGTCGCAGCGCGAATTGAGGACTTTCGAGAGAAGATTAAGCAGGAGCGGGCTGCGCGGGAGAAGTGAGCTGAGCATGAGATCGTGGTGCTGTAATTATGTGCTGACACAGTTTGAACGATTTAGTCTGCGTCGCAGGTTTGAGCAGAACCAGGAGGACATGAACTTTACCGTTATGACGCTCGTGCCGACGCTGGGGAAGCATATACTGCAGGACATGGACGTGGAGGCCCTCACCCACGAACTGCAAGCCAAGTCGAAAGCGAGCAAAGGCAAGCCAGATAGGGGCTCCATGAGTTCCTCGGTTTTGTCATCCAGCGCAGAGATCGTGCAGGAGCACGACGCGCGGTCAGACTTGGGGTCCGCATCAATATTGTCCTACCCCGACAACGGTGCGGCGTCCATGGGGGGGTCAACACACAGCTGGGTGGACGAGTTCGCTGCGCAGACACCGTCGTATCCGCCCCGCATATACCCCGATGCGGCCGACCTGTCCGACTCGATGCTCACCACGAGTTCCGCACCGAGTACGAGTGCGAATACAGAATCTGGCTCCGTGAGGACTTATTTTGTGCCCTTGCGGACGACCTAATGAGATCTTATGTATGATAGTCCGAGCCGGCCAGTTCGGCGGAGGAGTCGTCTGCGTCGAGCAGCCGGAGCAAGGCGGAGCTGTGGAAGGAGATCAAAATGCTAGGTAAGGCTGCTTGCTCAAACGCCTTGTAGTCTTTGTTTACCGTCCCTCCCGCCCAGCGTTCACGCGCACGCTGACCGTCGTCTATTCCCTCACCCTCCTCACGCTTTTCACCCAAATTCAACTGACGATCCTGGGTCGGTATAAATACATCCAATCGGTGCTGCAACAGGAGCGCGACGAACGGATGCGGGAGAAGCTCCTGGACCAGGTGTCGATATCGTCGCTGTTCTGGGACCCGCCAGATACCGACGAGGATGTTGAGGAGGATCTGGAGACGGTGAGCAGGGAGACGGAGCGGAAGTTTCTCACTCTGAGCTGGTGGATATTACATGTTGGGTGGAAAGATGTTGGAGAGCGGGTGAAGAGGGGGGTGGAAGAGGTGTTCGAAGGGTAGGTCATCTTGTCGAGTATCCGCTTCAGGTGATGGGGAACGGTTTCTGTAGGGTTTCGTTGAAGAGTAAGTTGACTGCGATGGACTTGCATCGGCTAATAGGCGACGTGCGGCGTCGAGTCGAACATGAGATTACTTTCGAGGGGACGGAGCGACGGGTGAAGTGTGTTTCGTCCTGTCATCTTATGGAGACTATGAAGATAAACTCATCGTCCCCGCAGCTTCGCGTCAACACTAATACCGCCAACCGCCGAGACGCTCCAACACGTCCTCCTCAAAGGCGGCGTCTCGCCGTACGCCTCCCTCACCAACCCCTACCCGCAGTCCGACCCCGACCCAATATTCACCGCGCTCCTCGCCGAAACGCGCACGCTCCTCAGCTCGTCCGATTTCTCCTTCGTCCTGGAGGTGTGCCTTGACAGGGCGACGGAGGTGCTGTTCGACGGGCTGCGGAAGAACGTGTTCGTCGAGAGCGGGAGCGGGGAGGAGGAGGAGGTTCGCATACGGCTCGCGGGGTTGTTGCCGGGGCTGGCGAGGTGGAGTAAGCTCGCGTTGACGGCGCTGCCGAATGAGTTGGTTGATGTGCGTGATTAGTGGCTTGCTCTCATGCTGCGTGTTTTACTGAGGCTACGCTGCATAGGGACTGCTGGGACTGCGGGAAGTGACGGCGTTGTCTGCTATCGTATTCTCGAAATTTGAGGACAGGTTCCGGTGACGTTGTGTCTTCTTGTATAGCAACTGCTCATATACCGCTATCATCATTATTTGGAACAACTCTCGCCGGCGGTATGCTGAGTACATCGTGAGTGAGGGCCGTTGACTTTGTTGAAGTTTGACCTTGGCAGGGAGCTGTGCGTTCAACCAGGTAATGCCACACAGGTGAGCGGTCTCGGGCTCGCGATCCCGCTGTGCATGCACTAAACCATCTCTGTTGGCATAGTTGGTCTTATTGCCACTGTTAACCCGCGGAACGACCTCCTTACTATGGGTCGAACTCAAACAGCCGCCTTGGGTACCCTCGGTGGACGAGCCGGTGCTCAAGTCATCCGGGCTTCCGTTCTATTTTTAGATCCTTAGATATCGCAAGGAGTGCGTCAGATCAAACCATCCGATAATACGCCGTCGCAAGTCCGGCGCAGGTAGCATGACCTTGTCCGCTGGTATATCTATCTGAACTCGCACCGCAGGGTGCACAGATCCTCTTCTCTAGCATTTCACCAGCACTTGAGAAATAAGAATCAGTCATGGCTCCTGTCGGCGTCGCCATTCTCGGTGCTGGTATCTTTGCCAAGGAAGGTGAGTTGCATTCGACAATAAGCTATGCAAAGTGGCCTGATTGACGGGTAACGCTCTCAGCTCACCTTCCCGCCCTCTCCAAACTTCCGAGCTCATTGTACTCCCTGAAAGCCGTCTACTCCCGCTCGCAGGAGTCGGCGTCGTCTCTCGCGTCGTCTGCCAAGGACTTGCTCTCGCTGTCATCTGTTGGCGTGTACTACGACACTCCCCAGTCATCCGACTCCTCCCTCGCCGCGCTGCTATCGCGCTCGGACATCTCTGCCGTGATCGTCGTGTTGCCCATCACGACGCAGCCCGGCATCATCCGCCAGGCGCTCAAAGCTGGTAAGCATGTGCTGAGCGAGAAGCCCATCGCGCCCGACGTGAAGACCGCGAAGGAGCTTATAGTCGAGTACGAGCGGGAGTATAAGCCGAAAAATCTGGTGTGGAGGGTCGCCGAGAACTTCGAGGCGGAGCCCGCGTTCCAAAAGGCGGGAGCGTTGGTGAAGGAGGGAAAGATTGGGAAGGTTATCGCTTACCAGAGCAAGATCATCAATTATATTGATAAGGATAGTAAGTGGTACAAGACGCCGTGGAGGACAATTCCAGATGTAGGTTACTTCTTGTGCGTGGGGTTTCTGCTCACTGATCCCTATGTAGTACCAAGGCGGCTTCCTGCTCGATGGAGGGGTACATTTCTCTGCCGCCCTGCGCACTATGCTACCCGAGTCCTCGCATCCCACTCTGCTCTCATCTTTCGCCTCCCTCCATAAGTCATGGCTGCCTCCGCACGATACGATCCACGTTATCCTTCGCTCCCCCGACAAATCGTCGGGTATCTACGAACTCACCTTCGCCTCGCCATCGCCGTCCCTCGGGTCGGGGAATGGCTACACGATAACTGGTTCGGCTGGATACCTTCTTGCGACCAACGTGAAGGGTGGTATTCAGATTACCGTTAAGACAGTCAAGACAGTCAAAGGTGACGACGGGAAAGAGAAGGACGAAGAGAGCGAAGAGGTGTTTGTCGAGGAGAGTGTGGGGGTCAAGAACGAGGTTGAGAGCTTCTTGAAGACGATATCGGGCCAGGGCGGTCCTCAAGATGCTGGGCTTGGAGAACCAAGGCAAACAATCAAGGACGTCGCGCTGATCGAAGCGGCCTTGAATAGCGAAGGGTCGCTGATTGATCTGGGTGCGCTAGCCAGCGTGTGATGGTTGAGGTGTACTATCTACCGGTACTAGCGTTGGTATGAGGAGTAATGGAGATTCAGCTTTATCGGTATGTCACGACAAGATCAATGACTCTCATGGCCCCTCGGTTAAAATGTGCGAAACGAGTCTTTGACCGTGAGGCCAGCGCACATGTACACTCTTCAAGGACCCATTGCTCATGTCCTATCTGACACTGAGGTCACGCTTGTTTTCAGTGGATGCGTCAGTCAGAAGCTTAGCGCTTGGTGCGTGCGCTGGCAGTATCCCAATGGCCGGTGTTCCTGTGGTAAGCCGGTACATAGCCAGAGACGTTGACAGAGCCCTAATTGTCCTCACTATCCTTGGTCACGTATCTTGGCGTGAGTGCGGTAAACGATACTCAGTAAGTTGCGTTCGTCCGTTCTTGAGAGGTCCCCACCTGACTAACCAAATTCGTGCTTCTAGACTTGGAAGTCCTACGAGATTATCACTGCATGTCGTTCATCTGCTAGGGATTATTTGAAAGGTACAGTCTAACGCCTAGGTTAGAGCGCCATTCTCTCGCCGCAGGAACAGACTTACTGAAGTTGCTATGTAGAGGAAACAGTGAAGTGTGAAAAGTCACGAGAAAGGTCAGTCGTCTAGATAACCATCTTAAGAGAGTGTTCTGACCTTCGATCCCGAATCAACGGCCGAACCCTTCTTGCTCGTCAACCCCGAACAGTAGTGACCCGGTTGCAGCTTGCAGGAACGATGACATGTATAATACGACACGCCAGCGTTGCCGCGCCTGCGAAATCCACTGACAGGCAACGCAATATTTCCCCAGACTCCGCTTCGTTGGCAGCGCTGACGAGAGTGTTCCTTTGGCCCGCCTGCCTGCGACGTTTATGGTATACTCAGAGATGTTTTCTCGTCTCTTGGATCTTCTCGTTCTTATCACACGACCAGTATGTTGTATGCGCCACGTCCTGCCTGATATCCTCTGCTTCCACGATGGCAAATCTTTGTAACATGCTAGGCCTGGCATCCCACTAACACTTCCACTGGAGCGGGTCGTAAGATGACAGTCTGCGAACCTAAGCCGGGCCCTTGCTGTTTATCTGTGAGGTGAATTGTGGCGGACGTTGCTCTTAATAGAAACTATGACTCGAATCCTTCTCATCCTCATGTTGATATCGTGCGTTCCTTCATGACTTCTTTTCACTGCTGTGCATTCTGAAAACGTTGTCACTTCAGAGGCCGAACAGACCCCTTATCTCTATATGGAATAAACGGCAGCCCAGTCGCAGCTTATCACCGGTGGGAGACGCCTCCGTTCTCCGGCATGGCCCTCAAGTCTTCCTAATGACTCCTTCGGTCGTGGACAAGGGCGGGTCGAGATCCATGAGGCTGAGACGAAGCGTACAGCCTAGCTCCCCCTGCGCTTCTGATCACCCGTTCCTGTCCTTTTCTGTTGTTCGTCTGTTCCAGTAGAAGCATTTGTGAGCCTGCGGTGTCCGCAGCCTCCTTATGGTTTGTGGTGCCGCGCACGTTCACAAGGGTGGGGAGCGGGGGCTAGGATGCCTCTGATGGATGTAGGATGGTCCAGTGCCTCTCCAGTGGAATGATTCATAGTGGACTTGTGTTCGCGGCTACCACGTAGGCCGTGGTAAGGATGGGTCACCGACTGGAAGTTCAACAATATTTGTTCGATTTTTCTTTTGCTAAGGACGAGCTTAACGCGCAGATCAGCTAGATATAGGCAGGATGCTCATGCACACTGCATCAGTGCAAGTCATGGTCGTGTTCCTGGCAATCTGATACGATGGAACCAGAGAATTCGCGAAGGATTGCTCCGCAGCAAGTAGCCACTCAAATGTACATGTGTAGGTCCATAATTCGCGTCGAAGCACGCCCTTCCCGGCCCTTTCAATGAGTGAGGCCAGAAGGTGATACTAGTTACTGGGACAATAAGTTCGACCACATGCCTACCGCATGACGCTCTCACATGTACCCATCCTGGCATACCCATATAACCTGTTGCAGACCGGAATCTCATAGCAATGACAAGTCAGTACTAGTGTTCTGTGATAAGTCATTTACAGTAATATTATCATACTGCGCGGTTCTGGAGATTACATAAGCATTTTCCAATAGTCGTAGGTATTAACCAATAAGCATTCGACGTCTGTAAGTTGGTTGCAGAGTCAAGTCCGCGTGGCGCACAACATTAGAGCGCATTTGCTACCTCCCATACATCCTATTTACCCGGTGCCTGTTTTCAGGACTCTTTACAATAGATATCCTCGATAGTAAGCCGTGACACCCTGTCTATGACTGATTAAGTCTAACGGATGCGCAGGAAGGTCGTCTCTCCAAATTGTCTAGCGAATTCTGCGATCGCGATCGACCACGGGAGCTGTGTGTCGAAACATATCACATTCATGCGTATGCTGTGAGCGCACTCAGAGCACCTGTTCCGACGCGACTCCAGGGGCTGTGATAGCTGCTGGTTCCAGCTTCTCTCGAGGCATCACCTGGGTGTGTTCAGCATTCTTCCATCCCAGCAGGCATGCGTCCTAAGTATATCGCCGCGCGATTCGGGTTCAGTTGATTAAGTGTTTACTACTGTTGACGAGAGGCACTCGTTACAAGTATAAAAGATGGAATACGAAAGGTTAGCATTCCATCCGTCCAGATGACCCAGCCCTCACCCTACAAATCTGGCCTTGGCGCCTACGAAAACTTATCCGCACCACACCCCACCAGTTCTGATCAGCAGAGCCGTCAACTGATTAAAGATGAGCTGGTAAACAAGCAGATTTTTAACGACCCAAGCGTCTTCCGCCGCCTCCGGCTCGATATCTACGAACAACCTGGCACTCAGGAAGCGCAGTTTCTGGTTGACTGCTTCAACGCCTTCCACGTCATGAATGCTGATGATATAGCTGCCTTGTACGCAGCAGTGCGAGCAAAAGATGAGAGTAAAATGTACACACCTCTGGTAGGATGTCAGATCATGTGTACTTCATAATATCCTAATCCATCTGCTACCCAGTGTAGTGTTTTTCGATATATATCATCTTTCCCCGATTCTAATCCAGCACCCCGTGATGTTATTCCGAAGGAACAGGTTCTGGTGCCCGACGAATACCATACCCTCGGCTTCCCGGAAGTCAGACCGGATATAAGTGTTATGGACAGAGGCTTACAATCGAAGCTCTGGAGGCATAGAGCTGCTTTTGGAGAAGTCAAGTGGAACGTTGGCCATGGCCCCGATCCGCCTCAACCCGGCAGGGTCTCAGTCATCGTCACCCAAGCAGCCGGTTACGCGCGTCTACATATGTCTGCAAGACCCTTCTCCCTTTTCTCTGTCGCCCTCCTTATATTCGGAACCAGGTTCTGTGTCGGAATCTTCGATCGCAATGGAGTGGTTCTCTCTCCGACCTATGAGATGTTCGCCGAGGAGGGGTTGAAAAAGTTGATTGGGGTTGTTCGCAATCTGACCCATGTCCTCACCGACGTGGACCTGGGCCGGGATCCCACTGTTGACATCCTTGACTCTGACGAAGCCGAGAGGCTGACGGGAGTGAGCAACCCTTATCCGCTGTATCGGATCTCTCCCATCGGGCAGGATAACCGGTCTTGGTGTACAATTGGACCCCCAGTGTGGTCATCCATATCACTTCTTGGCCGGGGGACACTGATCTTCCGCGTCCGGGAGTACCATCCTGGCACTGGTCAAGGCAACGTCGCACACCTCGGAGACCAAACAATGGTCATGAAGACTGCATGGAGGGACAGTGGTCGTAACTCAGAGTCTAGTATATACCAATCCATTACTGCGAGCCACCCTGGTCTAGCACAGTTTCTCATAGGCGAAGACGTTATCACTGCGGGTGGCGCGACCTTGACGGTCGACTCTGTACGCGGTAATGCCGCAAAACTCGAGGATAGCCCGGTCCTCCACCGGCTTATACTGAGAAGCGTCGGACGTCCTCTATGGGAATACAACTCCGATCTCGAGTTGCTGAAGGGATGGTTGGCCGCCCTAAACGGTGAGTACTTCGGACATTGATTTCTTCCCCACCGTTAATGTGCGACCTTGTTTGTAGCGCACGAGTTCCTGAGCAGCCGGAAGGTCCTGCATCGGGATGTTAGTCCGGGTAACATCCTTCTCGCGGCAGACCCCGAGAAAGCGGAGGCAGGCTCGGAGGGATTTCTGAGTGATTTGGAATATGCGCACATTCAAGATATCCTTGAGACCAAAGTCGAGGTCATCGAGCGAGAACCCGTCAAGCGAGGACGTACTGCGGAAGGTCAAGACGTCTTTACAGATCCGACCACAAACACGCATACCCTATATGCTGTAGACAAGGCCAAGCGCGGTGCGCCACTCACGGTAAGTTGCCCGTACTGTAGTTCTGCTAAATAGAACCTTCACTGATTGTCATTCATAGGGGACTCGTCATTTCATGTCTTCCAAATTGCTCTCAGCCGTTGGTCGTGGCTCACCCACTAAGCACGTCGTTGAGGACGACATCGAGTCGTTCGTCTGGTCGCTGGGCTATGCCGTCATGAGGAAGGCTGTCACGGCTACTAATGGTAACAAGGACGAGAAGGAGGCGCATGAGCTATACATGACCTCATTCAAGAAGGCCTTTAGCCACTTATCAGCACAAGCGATTCTCGACAACAGAAAGAGCACACATTCACCGGTCGCCTTCGCTCGGCTGCCCGAGCTAGACTCATTCATCGACCGCCAGGTGTCTGTGCCACTGCAAAAGCTCCTCAGAGCGCTTCAGCAGCGTATGAGAAAACGAACAATCTATGAAGAAGACGAACAGACGCGAATGCTAAGGCCGGAACAAGAGAGCGAGGTGGCTGCGCTGCTAGGGAGTCCGACTGATGCACTTGACACTCTTTCCCTAGCAGCGGTCGAGTTATCTTACGAATTTCTTCGCAGGGTCACGCTTCCATGCATCCAGGAGTTGGAAAGTCATCGCAACCTTGACATCATCCGTAAATAGTTTATGCCTCATCTCATGTGTCTATCTAGTTTGAAGCGGAGTGCGCGCGTTCAAACTTGAATTTAGTCAATGCAACATTTGCAGGATCGAAGTCGTAGTTCTCAAGCTGCACGAGCTTTCCGGCTGTCCCCATTGCAAGCATTTACAAGCCTACTAGTCCAGGATAATAGATGAGGCTTGCACATAAGACGTGGCGTAGTAGGCCGTGGCTTTGATTGTGGCGCATATACTCCGGGCCACGGCTACGTAACTACCCGAGTTCTGCCACTCTGTCCAATCCGATATCCTCCCCCACCCGGTTCCACGCTTTGGCCCTGGACATAATTGGAGCAGGTTATTCTCGCTATCTTGGGCATCTCCCGACTGTCCTGGTTCATGTGACTGGTTAGCGTTAGTACTTACTAACTTAGTAGGTGCTGAGTCCTCTGCCAATCTCATTTGAATCTCATGCTGTTTGGTCACGGTCGTGGCGGTGTCGACGTTGCGAGGTAATTAGTGGTACTTGTCTTCAAAACGCGCTCCGAAGTTTTGGATAGTCGTGGCAATTCAAGCTGGGATTCCTGCAGCTGCTTCCTATCTTCCTGAAATGTTGGATTGACAGTGGTCCAGCCTCATCCGACGAGCTGCTCCATGTCATAAAAGTATCGGTGAGAGTCCGAAGTACTGTCGGCGGTCAGATGCGATATGCGCTTTATGTGCGGCCTCCTCCAAGCAGTAACTTGTGATTCCCATAGTTTTTTCCCCCGTTATTCATGGATAACAACACAGGCATGTTCGATATGAATGTATGCTGTCCACTCCATGTCCAAATGTGCGGGGCATAAATAAACAGCTGGCGCTAGTCGAAGGAGGCGCAACCGCCATCGTCCCTCAGCATGCGTCTCGCTCTGCTCGGCAGCCTTTGCGCCTCCACTGTCGCGTCTGCTGCAGCACAAAGACGATATGCCATTCTCGACAACGACTGGAGCTCCACAGCGTTTGCTGTCTTCCTAATGGCACTAGATGGGGGTATCGATGTCCTGGCTCTGACAGACTGTACGTCCATACACAATCACATCCAAGATCGCTGCTGAATCAGAAATCTGTGAAATATGCGGCCACAGGCACAGGGGATACATGGCAGCACCAAGAGACTCTGCATGCCCTCGCGACTCTAGAGCTGGGTAACCTCTCGTGTATCCCAGTTGTACCTGGGGCCACCTGGCCACTCCTGCAGACGCCTGAGCGTCTGCAGGCTTGGGAGTCGATCTACGGCCCCTTAGTCTGGCAAGGCGCATTTGCTGCTCCCAATTATACAGCGGAGGCACAGGGCGCAGATCCTACTGGAGGTGATCCTAACCGTATTGTGCCTGCGGCGTTCGTGGAGGGGTTACCTGCCACGAAGCCGATGAACACCACCAACGCAGCCAACTTTATGGTGGAGATGGTGAGGAAGTATCCGGGGCAGGTCAGTATTTACGCAGCGGGCCCGCTCACGAACGTCGCGCTCGCGGTACGGATGGATCCGGATTTCGCGGAAAATGCGAAGGAGCTGGTGATCATGGGTGGGTATGTCGACGTCGAACTGCTTCAGGCCACCGGGAGCTTGCTAATGGCAAATATCAACTCTGATGTGAGACGTCTGAAGAGATTTCTGCAGTCTGTGAGAGCTTACATTTTTGCGACGCAGATCAACCTGATTATGGATCCGGAAGCAGCGAGTATCGCGCTGACGGCGCCCTTCCCAAATATCACCATAGCGGGGAATGTAGCCAACCAGGTCATATCCACGCAAGCGTTCTTGGACCAAGTCATCCAGGTGAACAATTCCTATAGCAATTTGATGTACAAGTACTACGTGAGCCCTCTTGTCCCTTCATCTGAAGCGGCTCACAGGATTTCGCCTTATTAGGGAACGGAATTTCCCTTCTGGGACGAAACAGCGATGGCGTTGCTCGTGGACCCTTCTATCAACACCAACTCCACTAACGGTATTGAACTCGCATCTTCACTGCACTGTCGCGTTTCCGCTTGACTGAGATCCACTTCTACAGTATTCGTCGCGGTGGACACCGCCTACGGCAGTCCCAGCTACGGCAATATTCACGTATACCAAAAGGCACTGGCGCCGCCGAATACGAGGAGCGTGCAGTATGTCTTCGAGGTGGACGGCGGCAAACTGCAAGACATGATTATGCATGCTGTGCAGTATCCACCGCAGGTATGCTAATAAGGCCGTGCCTCCCTCAGAAGCATGTGGCAACCCTGCGTGACTGAGTGCAGTAGAACTGTACCTCCACCAGTATTGTATGGCAATGAAGTGGGCACTAGTTCCAATCAAGCACAGTATTGCCCATGAATTCCCTACCTCTCGGTCACGAGCAACGGCACAGTCTCAATAAGAAATTGGAAATCTGTAACGCTGTAAGAAATCATTCTGCAATTCAGTATCCTCCGTATATGATCCATAACCATCCAAGGCATCCTTGCGTGTCCCCGATCTATTCATGATACACAATACATATGCCAAAACGTCTACACCATCCAGACCGCTCGAATTACCGGCGCATTCTTCTCCACGCCCACCCGACTGCTCCCAGCGTGACTAGAGCGCTCATCACCTTGACTTGCATAGAGACGGACGCTGTTCATAGACGGCCGTTGGCGGTCGCGCCATTAGCACGAGGCATGCTGTGGACCTGCTCACCAGAACATTTGGTGGGCTCCTGAGAGTCAATGTGCTCCTTGAACCACTGCGATACAAGCGAAGTGAGTAAGCGAACGGAGGGGGGAGAGTAAGGAGAGACAGGAACTCACCTTGGACAAGAACCACGCTGACTCCTTTGGATACCGCTTCTGCGTCGCATAGTCGACGTAGGTGACACCGAACCGAGTCTGGTAGCCGTCGGCCCATTCAAAATTATCCAAGAAACCTACAGAGTAGCGTCAGCCATCCGGAAAGTTTCATACGGAGAGGTGCTCTATATGAAGTATAATAAGCTAATACGCACTCCACGGGAAATACGCGCGTATCTGCACGCCGTCCTCGTGAGTCGCTTTGAGCAGCGCTTCACAATTGCCCTGGAAGTATTCGACGCGATCGGTGTCCTTGAGGGCCTGCTCTAGCGGCATCGAGCTCTCGTTTTTGACTGCGAATCCGTTCTCTGTTACACTGCGAGAGTGGAGGTGAAATTGAAGAAGCTTTGTTAGTGGATCACATGGACTGCGACAGGGGACAACTTGGACATACTAAATTGGCATGTTATATCTCTGATATTGGGATACGCTCCAGTATCAGCGTCTGGTTGAGCACTTGAAGGAGTCAGGAACTCACGTTCCATAGGTAGTTCAACAGTAGCCTGAAACCCTCCGGATCTACATGGACGATATTGAGCGAGTTTCAGGTAACGGGGGATCAAGAACTCTGAGAAGGTGCAACTAAAGGACGTGTATAATGAGGGATTACCACTCACATGTCTGCAACCACCGACAGTGCGCTTGTGTCCCGAGCTGGGTCCCGTCGGGACGGGTGAAGGTATATTGCACATTGCCCTGGAACTCGTCGTCCCCGCCCGGTTCTATATAAGACAGGCATAAGTATTCCATACGCATTTATTTGAGGATAAAAGTATAGGAATGGCCGAGATCATGTACAGCAGGAGAAAAGCACGCACTGCACAGATTAGTCGTATAGGTATTCATCCCATAGAAATCACTTGAGCCGTGGACGAGCGCGATTTCCTCTGGTGTAAAAGTGGGCAGGCGATCGCCAAGAAGGGCCCGCTGGTAGGTGGGGTAATGGCCTGTTGGGAGCACATGGATGCCAGTGAAGTAGTGGCACGAGAATAGGGGGAAAGACATAAGACAAGCGAAAGATTCAAGGATGAGCGGATGTGAAATATCGCTGGCAATACAAAACGTACCTAGATAGATTGGGTCTGCGAACCACCCAATGGAAAAATCGAGCGCATGCTGCGCCGCCTCTCTGCCTGTTTTTAAGGGTTTGATCAGCTCATGCATTCCGGCCGTGGGTTGTGCAGAAAGTAAGATGGTCCAGATCCAGAGTCTACAGCAACCCAAACTCAAGGGCTTCAAGTACATTACAGTAGGGTTAGGCTAGTCCCACAGCGAAAAAGGCCTTGTGAATCACCAGCCAGCGACATCACCTCCATGATGCACACGAGAACGAGGTCACTCACATTCGTCGGTGTCATCCCAGGGAAGGGCCATATCACCATTAAGTGTGACCCCAATTACGCCACCCTGCCTTTGTTTGTATTCTGTTCTATACAAAGCGGCCGCAGAAGCGTGCGCGAGAATCACATTGTGCCCGACTCTGTGCACACAGTTAGTTATGAACAGGCCAAGGGAAAGGGAATCAGAGAGAGTCAGAGTGCAAGCTGTGACTAAGGAAGAGAGTGGTAGATGATAGAGGGAGGCTCACATCCATGGTTCGGTCTTTGAGTCACCCTCCGAGCTGCGCGAGCGGTCAGATGAGCGTCCGGGAGCAAAGACACCGCGGCCATAACCAAGAATAGCGATACACCAGGGCTCATTAAATGTTAACCTAGGGTCAAAATTTTAGTTGAATAGGTGCTTTAGACGAGCAGCAGAAAAAAAGGGCTGGTTCGGAAAGACCAGACCTGGTCGAGACACGCAAAAATCACGCACCAATGCTTCACTCGATCACCAAACGCGTCAAAACAGACGCGGGCATAGTTGACAAAGTCCGCAATAATCTCTGCTTTATTGAGCCAACCACCGTAGCGGTCGTGTAACCCTTGGGGCAAATCCCAGTGGTACAGCGTCTATCACAGGCGAGGTTAGGGTTGATTCGGGTCAGGACGGGAGACGAATGAAAGGAGGTAAGCAGGCTAGTGGAGGACGACTCACGACAAAAGGGGTTATGTCAGCCTCCAGGAGCTCATCGATTAGCTTGCTGTACCACCGGATGCCCTTCTCGTTGATGGGATCGTTCCTCCCGCCGAGGGGAATGATTCGGGACCACGAGATACTGAAACTTAATGTACAAAATCTATCAGCCTTGGAAGGGTTGCATGTGGGTAATGACACGAACCGGTAGCTCTTAACGCCGTACTGCTTGAGAAGTGCAACATCCTCATCCCTGCGGCGGTACGAATCGGTCGCGACGTCGCCGGTCAGACCGTCAGCGGTCTTGCCAGGGAGGTGCGAGAACGTGTCCCAGATGGACGGTCCACGCCCATCTGCATCTGGCGAGCCCTCTATCTGGTAGGAGGCGGTCGCCATTCCCCAGAGGAAATCGGCGGGGAGTTTCTGTGCTGCCATGGTGAACTTGAGTTAGGGAGGGGAAGGTAAATTGGGAGGAGGGGCAAATATAGAGATACATATACGAATATGCTGCACAATCAAGTGCTTCTACCTGGCTCCGACGATGCACCGAGGGATGCATGATCGGCGGGTTGGCAGGTTTGATCGCAGGAGGTAATTACCCCGCATTGTGCTGATCCGAGGTTTCCCCATCTCTGGTTCCTGCCGACAGCTCCGTGCGGTTCGTCCCTGTCGTTATGGCGGCCAAGTCTGGCACGTATCGAGCTTATTATAATCTGTACTCTACTGAGAATATGCCAATACGCGTCTGCATCAGAACTCACCGACTTGACGCAAAGAAAGTTGGACAGGGGAAAGATTCGGCGATGTTTCGCTAGTACTGTCCAAGCCAACGGTGTGTTTTCTGCTCCATAGAGGCCTAACATGATCGCGGGAAATCCCTACCTTGTGCACTCTCGTTTGGAGCCGCGGCGAGGATGGAAGTGACATTAACACCTTCGCCCCGACTGCTTGCCGTATCACCGAGGATGCCCAGCAGTCGCCAAGATACAGCAAGGGGGAAGAGGGTCGGGATCTCCGTACCGAAAGGCGCGTTCCTTCGGTGCCTTTCAAGTGGTGCCATGCTTCGAGCTGAGGGTATCAAGGCCTCAAGGTGCTGTCGATAAACGGCTTCGTGGAAGAAATTTCACGGCCGTACGTTACTAGTTTACCCTCAATGGAGTATCCCGCTGCTATCGTCATGACATCTCTCGACATGAAAGTGAACAGAGCGCTGCAGCTGTTTACTTGGGTAGAGCTGGAGGTTATGTATTGTCGTTGTCCCGAGCTCGTTCAACTGGAATCACCGCCCAGATGCGACAGATAAACTGTACCCCCCGGAGTACTAGTGCGCAAGTGACAACAGACCCGAAGCCACCATTCTGCAGCGAACTACACCGGGTTAACTTTAGAGCTCATTGACGACAACGACGAGATCCGGATTGGTCTTGCCTTTCATGACTATCGCAGATCGCGGGCGACGGGGACGCACTAAGATCGGGCGCGCGGTGATGGGATGTCTCCGGAGACTCCCAGTGCGCATCCGCGATACAGGACGCCCGAGGTTGATCCATGTCCCGTACTTCACTGAGGAGAAACCTCCGTACACTCCATTCAATGCTGTCTTGAGCACGCAGCGCATGCATGAGTATAGCAAACATCGATGGCCACGGGTGTCAACGCGGCTTACGCAGGAATGTATAGGTTCCTATTTCTCGCCGTGCACCTTCATATAAAGTCATATCCACAGGGCTGGGGTCAGGATGCTCAAGCCGACGATTCACCGATCATAGGCCGTATCTGCGGCGCCCGACGGATATAGTTCACCGATCCAAGGAGAGAAGAAAGGTTACGGGATCTTGACGGTCTGTCTTCATCACTGCTCCACAAAGAATATCTGTACCCAGGCAAGAGGCACGCCAGAGTTCACCGAGTACGGCGCGGGATTGGCGCCGGCATGAGTTCGTCGAGTGCAACTCTGCCTACCATAAGTTCGGTATGTTTCTTGCCCCACAGCCCCTGAGGATCAGAAGAACAAAGAGGAAGGAAGACGGAAGAAGCGTTGGATACCAGGCGGTGCCGAGGATAGCCCTGATAGTTGGTCTCCATGCGTCGGAGGAAGAAATCATTTCATGAACTTGAAAGACAACGCCAGCTACAGACCCCGAAAATCAAAGCTATGGCAATGCAAGGGTGTTGCAGTGAGATATGAAATCGAAGCTAGCTTGCGGAGACTGTGCGTGATGAAAGCAGCAGACGACCCACTGTCGGTGGAGAGGGAAGAGCAAAGCAAACAGCTCTCAGGCCCATGCCGACCATCATTGGTGGCCAAATATCCGGAGGGTTGTCCTGATACAACGAAGGCCTCATCCAGCGGCCCGTAAAATAAACATCAGGGGGCTTCAGCACAGATCAAGGCTAGCACCCTCGGCAGCCCATAACTGAGCAGGAAGAAGGCAAGAACAATAGTTCGTCGAAGTCCGTTGGCATCCTCATCAAGCATGAGCCGAACAGCGACCTGTCGGGAATTTGGAAGACTGAATAACGCAGCTTCGAGATAACGCAGAGGCGGTAAGATTAGAGAGAAGCAGGTCAAAGTAACCCGATGCAGACCCAACAGATGTCGAATGTTGCCTTTCCCCCGGATAAAGTCCGTATGCTACGACCTTTGCAGATTTCAGCTGCAAGAACATGCGAGATTTCATTGATTTGCGACACGGTAATGAAAGTTCCACTGACCTGCATTGGAGCGAAGGTTACGAGATCCCGGTGGTATCTCTCTCACGACCACCATCGCTGGAAGAAAGGAGGAAGGATATTCCCGAGGGGGCCTCTTTCTTATTAGATTGGGTTGTCCGGGCTCATCAGGTGCATGTATATGTAGTTAGTGTTGACGGCTGCCTGGCTTGATCATATGCCAGGCAGGGGAGCGGACTGCTACGTCGGGGGACATGTTGGGACTGAGATGAACCATGAGGGGGTACGTCCGGTGAAGGCAGCTCTAAACTGCATTAGATGAAAAGCAGAGAGCGAAGTCTCTTCTGGCAAATCCATCGATAAGAGTAGCCCCGCTGGTTTTCCTCGAGGAAAAATGCATAGCAAGGCGTGGATCATGCCAGGGAGAAGTATATGACGAAAACGGGTCGGAGAACCCCCTCTAGAAAACAAGCGCAGCGGATGGAAGGTAGTTTTAATACCACCGGGAATTACGGCCGAACAACGAGCAACGAAGGAATCTGAGAGCCGACTGGCTATTAGTGCGTACGTGAGGGGATGCACCTCTTCAGCATCACAGCAATAGACGGTACGAGAGCGGACATTATGATCCTAGAGCGATATGCCCGAACGACCGCTAGATTACAAGGAAGTCACTCTGAGGTAAGAACATAGGCCCGACGGGCCGCTAAACGCACCCTGATTGACTTGCCTGGGATCGCCGGGGTAGTGGGGTCCGTGTAGGGATCCTATATCTCTGTAATCTGCTCAAATGGTCCTTGAAACGTCCGTTTGGCTTGAATGGAAGGCTGTAGCATTAGCATGCGATACCTGAAATGATTCCGCCGAACGTCCAGGACGCACACTCGCTGGGCGTGTCACCGAAGTTAATACGAGCATTACGTCCTGAGAATATCAATTCTGCAGTGTTGTCGAGATTAACCAAAGGGGTCCCAGAGCTGGCACTTGATGGTTGTGCGGTGGATGGGTGGCCGTACACATTGCTATGCAACGCCCCATGGCCAAGGATTCTATGCAGGTCATCCAGCGACTTAGGAACCTCGAGTTTTCATCGACGCACAAGCCCTGACAACTGTACAGCAGATTGGTCCGCCTAGGATACCAACAAAGACGAACGAGCAATTGATCCTCTTGAATGCCCGACGGTGCGCGCATGTCCACCATGTTCAGTTACCGAAAACAGCGCACACCCTAGCATGTGTGCACGCTCCTGAATCCACAGGTTTCCTCGGCCAGATGAGAATGCTCCGCGAGTGTACTGTAGTTGCGGAGCCGGAAAGGATGCGGTGTACGTGGGCTTGTGTGGCATGTGGCAATGACCGTGAGAATTGTCGTGAGAATTGCTTAGAACTAGCACCTTACGAGGTAAACAGACTTGACCTCTCCAGGCTCAGCTTCGGCGTCTCGCTTCTCCTCCAAACTTGCTGTACTATGTCTGACATCGAAGAGGACACATATCAAAACGGGAACTACGATGCCCACGAGGAAGATGGTGCGGACGGTGTAGAGCAAGACACACAACAAGGAGATGAGACGCGCAGAAAGAGGCCCGCGGAAGAGGATGAAGGTGGCGAGGAGGACGAGGAGAGGATGGACGAGGATGCTGAGGGTGAGATGGATGACGAGGAGGATGAAGATGAGGACGAAGAGGACGAAGAGGATATTGACGAAGGCCGGCCCAAGAAGCGAACGAAGGTGATATTGTTGTGCACATAGCGTTTGTTTCGCTAACCGTGCAGTAGCACCGGCACAAGAAACGTAACGCCGTGAATCGTTTCCTTGATGTCGAAGCCGAGGTCGACGAAGACGAAGAGGATGAAGAGGATGAAGAGGACTATGGCAGAGGTATGTCGTTCGCGAGATATTCTGGATTATAATACCTATAACATCCAACAGAGGGTTTCATTGAAGAGGGCGCGGAGGATGAGGTTGATGACATTCGTAGAGCCGTGGATCATGCAAGACTAGATCGACGAGAACGAGAGTTCGATGACCAAGACCTTGCACGGATTGCTGAAGATTACCAGAAGCGGTCCAAGCAGTCTGCAGTCAGATATACAGGGGACATGAATGAGATCCCCCAACGGTTGCTCATGCCATCCGTTCACGACGCCAATTTGTGGCAAGTCAGAGTGCGGGTATGTGATCAAGCTTTACTTTTCCCTCCTAACCCGCCACTGAAGTTGTGCAATAGCCAGGCAAGGAGCGTGATATTGTTTTCAGTCTTATGCGAAAAGCTATAGACCTGGAGTACACGAACAAACCCTTGTCAATTCTCTCTGCTTTTCAGCGTGACTCCCTTCCTGGGATGATCTATGTCGAAGCCCGCAGCTCCAAGCAAGTCAGTGAAGCCATCAATGGACTCGTTGGTGTCTTCCCGAGCCGAGGAGTCAACCTGGTGCCTATAGAGGAAATGGCTAGTCTACTGCAAATCAAGAAGCAAGATCTGACGGTCACTCCGGGATCATGGGTTCGTATCAAGCGGGGCAAGTACCAGGGTGACCTTGCGCAGGTCATGGATATCACGGAGAACGGCGAGGAAGTCGGTCTCAAATTCATCCCTCGCATCGACTTGAATCCCAAGGACGACACTACGATTGACGGCCGAAAGCGGAAGAAGCTGGGCTTTGGCAACTCGGCTGTGACCATGCGACCACCCCAACGGTTCTTCAACTACGAAGAAGTCGCTAAGGTGTATGGTCGGAAACAGGTCTCAAAGCGGAACCAGGTCTATGTCTTTCAAAACGACACGTACAAGGATGGTTTTATCGAGAAGGACTTTAAGCTGAGCGCCCTGCAGCTTGAAAATGTCAACCCTACTCTGGACGAGATCACACGCTTCACTCGAGGGATGGACGGTGCGGAGAATGAGAGCGCTGTTGACCTGACGATCATCGCCGAGGCCTCTCGTAAAGCTGCGATCGCGGTCCTGCAGCCTGGAGATCACGTCGAAGTGTTCGAGGGTGAGCAGACCGGCGTAGACGGTGTCGTGCAGTCCGTAGAAGGTGATGTGGTCACTATCATCGCCAACAGCATGGAACTCGAAAATCAGCGTGTGGACGTTCCTGCGAGGAGTGTACGCAAGAAGTTCAAGCCTGGAGATCACGTTAAAGTCATGACTGGTAAAAATGCTGACGAGACAGGTCTTGTCGTGTCGGTCGAGGGCAATATTGTGACCTTCTTATCCGACATGTCTATGCAAGAGGTGCGTTTATTGTTCCGGACATTTTTTTACCTCTTCATAATAATCGTCTCAGGTATCTGTCTTCTCGAAAGATCTGCGAGAAGCAGCAGAAGTGGGATCCGGTACCAATATCGTTGGAAACTACGAGCTCCATGACCTGGTACAATTAGAGTAAGTGTCACAGCGGTAAGTTACGAAACACTATTTGACTCTCGATGTAGTTTGCAAACCGTCGGTGTGATCTTCAAGACGGAAAGAGACTCCTTCCGTGTCCTTGACCAGAATGGCCAAACGCGATTAGTGCAGCCACACCAGATCTCCATGCGGAGGGACTCACATCGTGCTATTGCCACTGATTCCGAAGGTCACGAACTACGTGTCGGAGACAACGTGAAGGAGGTGGATGGCGAGGTAGTTATGCGGTCTCTATATCCTTCCAGCAGCAGCTTAGAATAATCATAGGGCCGAAAAGGACGCATTCTGCACATCCATCAATCCCACTTCGCCTTCCTGCATAATCGAGACTACAACGAGAATGGCGGAGTCTTCGTTACTCGAGCCCGTTCTCTGGCATCCTTGGCTCCGAAGGGCAACCTCCTAAAGCCCGGGACTGACCTGTCAAAAATGAACCCTGCTATGACTGGCGGTGCTCCAGGGGGTATGGCAGGATCAGCAATGGGTCGTGGGCCTAGAGACAGGCTGATAGGGCTCACCGTGGCGGTCATCAAGGGCACGTACAAGGGCCACATTGGGACAATAAAGGACACGAATGGTCCGGCTGCCCGTGTGGAACTTCATACCAATAACAAGATCATTACCATCGAGCAAGATAAGTTGAAGCACAGACTGTGAGCGCCATATAAGATCGAACTGCATCTGACCCTAAAACGTATGTGCAGATCCGACGGCCGACTTATCCCACTTGACCAAGTAAGGTTCGGCGGGTTCGGCGGCGGGAGTATGGGCCCTCCGCGGACTGCGAACCCATACGCGCAGAATGGGGGCCGTACACCTGCTGGCGGCGGCTGGGGTGGCGCAACGCCAGGGGCTGGGTGGGGAGCTCCCCCGTCCCGCACGCCTAATCCATACAATGAGAGCGGGAAGACCCCTGCGTGGAACGTCTCCTCTCGCACGCCGAATCCGTACGCGATGGACGGCGGCAAGACCCCTGCTTGGAACGCCGCGACCCGGACGCCCAACCCATACGCGGATGGGTCGAGGACACCTGCCTGGAATGTGGGTTCGCGGACGCCGAATCCGTACGCGAGTGGAGGTGCAGGGGCATCGTCAGGGTGGGGCGGCGCTACACCCGGACGGCCAAGCGAATCAAGTGGTGGTTGGGGGAGCGGGTCTGGGAGTGGTGGGTGGGGTGGTGCTTCGCCCAGTAAAGGCGGAGGCGGTTGGGGATCGTCGAGCGAATCATGGGTATTTGTGTCGCTGCTCCTCACTTTCGGCGATGTTAATATGCTGTTCAGTCCGCACCTACTCCTGCAGCACCGAGTGACGGTTGGGGGGTAAGGCACTCCATAATGGCAGGCTTGTAGACCAATACTAATCGATATCTAGTCTGCACCCACACCAGGAATACCACAGACGCCGGCCAACTTCGCCACGCCAGGGGCTTATGGGGCGACCAAGACACCTGGCGCGTACCCGTTCACGCCGGCTGCCACGGGAGGCACTATGATAGAAAGCGAGACGTACGGTAAGCCTGTGTTTCCACGCGCCTGCGAACACATTCCTGACGCTATGCGTGTATCCACAGAGGTCCCGAAGGACTGGCTTGCCGATGCCGCGCTGCCAGTAAAGAAGGGCATCATGGTGCAGTTCAAGGGCACCTTCGGCGACGGCGGGCTGCCTGCCTGGAACAACGGCAACTACGAATCGCGTATCGGGCAGGTTCTGTTCGTCTCGGAAGGGGATCGAACCCGCGATATCTCGGCCACTGCGAACCTACAGCTGGAGAAAGGCGAGGAGGTCGCTGCCGTGCCCGTACGCTATCTGGTGCCGGTACCGCCACAGGCGAAGGCGAAGGCAGTGGTGCTGGAGGGCAAGATGAAGGGGCAGATCCTGCATGTGATGGAGCCCGGTGTCGGGGATCGGTGGGTGTGCACGGAGAGCTGGAATATGTTTGAGGAGATACCAGGGGATAGGCTGGTTTTGTTTAAGGACTGAGTGTTGCCCGTTCTGCTTTTTGTGTTGCTGTAGCTTCTTTGCTGTAAATTATAACATACTACTCCTGCCAGGACAATTGGCTGTACCTTCGAGGCCCGGGCGAAACGTCGGACTTAGTATCATATCATTCAGGTTGGCCTACATTTCGTTACGCTTCGTTCCGGCTATCCATCATGGCGTCCACACCGCTGTCGCCCCAGGCGAAAAGACTACGGACGATCATCGTTACGCTGCCTATCATGGGCGCTACTGCTTGTACGTCGCGCTCAATGTACAATCAGTCTCACAAAAAGCCAACGTTTATGACTACCAGTGATCCTGTACAAGCGCGTCTTCCTGGGTGAAGAGCAGCGAAAACTGCCGCGTGATGGACACGGGCGCATCGTGGAGATAAAACCGCAGGTAGCTAAGGTGGAGGGGCAGTCATAGGAGGGGGAGGGGGAGACGGGCAGTGGTATTCCGTTCCCGTGTCTACAGCGGTATATTGTGTGTCTGTCGTAATGTACGGGCATACCAATCTCAATCTGAGCGATTGCCAGTAATGTCTATCCTGGACTTCCCTCCATGTTCTACCAATCACCCTACGCTCCCCACTCACTTGCTCTCTGCTGGTGTGGATGCTGGTGTGACGACGCGCATGCCTGGCCCCCGTGTAGGGTTGAACAGGCGGTCGCAGTCCGCCCACGCGATACCCGTGCCGATGCCCGTCGAGAACGCGACCGGCCAAGCCCGTCCTGTATGTCCTCATGTGTCAGCGTCGGTGTAGTTTTAGAGAGGGAATGCACAGACGGCGGAAGAGGATGACGGAAGCCACGACGCCCACGCTGAAGCCTACCCCGCTGTGTCACAGGCTCGGGTCAGTTCGCTGTGTTTCGAGAGGAGAACTGGGAAAAAACGTACGTCTTTACGAGCAAATCCGCCACTGCACACGAGCGAGCCCCGAAACCAACCCTCAGTCAATTATCGTGCCAAACCGGAATAGAATTGTCGTTCAGGACGTACGGCAGCGGTCATACTGCAAGTAAAGGCATATGTCAGTGCAACATTCGTTACCAAATGCAAAAACGCACAGCATACCTTTTGGTTGACGATGTTCTCGCTGGAGGACGGTCTTGAGGACATGGTGCACGGAATGTGCAGTTGCTGCACGATGATGCTGGGTATTACTCGGGTTCCAGAAATGGCAATTGTTGGAACGACGTCATCCGTTCATTCTTCAAACTCTCACTTGTACGTGTTCTTTCATCGGAACAAGGGCCACTCAGGCACGACGTGAATGGCACCCTGCATTGATGTCTAATTTCCTAATGCAACATGTAAGTACATACCGAATCAAAGCGGACTCATTCGTCGGACAATGGGCTCTCATGCGTGGTGTGTACATGGGATCCTGAATATTCGGTGAATATCAATGAGATGTGTTTGAACTGCCATAGGACATAACATTCCGAGGAGAACTTATTCTAGGTTGAGCAGTATTAAATCCGATCTCGTTTGTAGGACGTTCTCCATCCCACAAAGCCCCAGGTCCGTGGACGAAGGGTGTTCCGGAATACTAGGTTTTTCATACCAGGTCACACAAGTCAAATGCATCAAGGCTCCTTTCTGATATGTGCACAGATGCAGCATTTGCTGATGACAGGAGCTGGGTAACGACTCCACATTTTCATTTTCAGTGCAAATTACTATCAGCACTCTCATCGTTCGTGGCTTAGCAAAACGTGAACGAGGAGATACGGTACCGCTAACGTTTTCGCGTACACTTCCTGATGGTCGGGCTGATGCTCAAGACCCCTATTAATGGAGTGTGAGGCCAGAAGCTCTTCGCGAAATGCCGAAGGGACCTCCTTCCAACCTTCCAACCCCTGCAAATGCCACTCTAATAAAAGTCGACATCGCCGAGGAACTTGGGAGCGGTCGCGTCGGTGACGTGTAAGTTGTGCAGAGTGCTCGTTGCTCAATCCCTGTCATTATCCCGCCGCTGGTGGTAAAGTTCACCAACAGGGATCGCTGCGACGAATTATCCAAGGAGGCATGGTTCTATGAGGAAATGGAATGTCTGCAAGGCGTCGTCACTCCGCGTTACTATGGGCATTTCACCACCATGCTTCCAGCGCGAACCGATATCCTCTCATTGAAGCGTCGCGCCAGCTCTCCGTTTCCCATGTCCATAATCCTCCTGGAGCGCGTGGGGGACAGTCTGCCTCTAGGACAGCCCATTCCACAGGTCCTTCAAGACGACCTTTGGGACATGATGAGGGATTTTGCTGCACTGGGTATATGTCACAATGACCTGCGCTACGACAACCTCCTTCACCTCCTGACCTGCCCTCGCTTCCTTCCCCGGACGCTCCTATGGGTTGCGTATCGTTGATTGTGATAGGGCTAGTAAATACAATATGCCGAAGGACATATTGTTCGGCTTATCAAGCGGCGCCGTCGAGCTGATTCTCGACAACGTCCCCATGGGGTGCGTCGTGAACATTTTCGATGAATAAGGCTGGAATACTGCCGGTGCCGAAGAATCATGCGCAATAACGGATTGCTTTGCTTGTATTGTATTAGTAGACGGTATATGTACTCTATATTGACTGCGCCTAAGCAAGAAATATATCTTAGAAATTATATACCCTCCCCTCACTAATCTCATGCGCGTATCACGAGCCGGAAGCCGCACCCTCCAGCTCCTTATACCATTTGACCACCTTCGGGTGCGCAGCGACCTACGAAACTCATCAGGACCTACCACACCATATACTATCACACTCTCAGACTCACCTTCTTAGGATCGAACCGCAGCACCTGCAGCCCCTCGAGGGACGCGGCGCGCGACAGCGCGACGTAACTCTGGCCTGCCCATCAAGGCTGTTATTTACGCAGCAAGCATCGAAGAACGTGATACGCACCCTTCTCGAACACCTTGCCCAGGTCCAGCTTGACCCGCTGGATGGTCTGCCCCTGGCTCTTGTGGATCGACATTGCCCACGCCAGTATCAGCGGGATCTACACCCCGTCAGCAAACCCCGCCATGAGATAGCATGTGCGTCCCTGACCTGCATCCGCCGCGCGAGGACGTTCCCCTCGCCGTCCTCGACGCGGAACTCGTCCCGCACGAGGAGGACCGCCTCCTTCCCCGCGGGCGTCTCAAACTCGACGAGGGGGTACCGCTCCTCGTCCTTCTCCCTCTCCTTCCCCTTCCCCTTCTTCCCCTGGCCCTGTTCTTCGCTCTTTACATTTTCCTGCTCCTCACGGACAGGCACTCCATCTGCACCCACCCTCACCCCCCTTACATGACCACCCTTCTCCGCAGCGCCCTTCGCGCCCTCGCCCTCCCCGTGCACCTCCCCGACGCGATAGAACCCCCTAACGACGCCCACACTCCCGTTCACGAGCCCCCCCTCGACGCCGTTATCCACATTCTTGATCAGCATCACCTGAGCGCCCGTCTTCACCTCCAGGCGCTCCACCGCCATCATGTTCTTCAGCAGCCGCGCTCTCGTTTCCGCGGGCGCACTGCCGGAATCTCGCGAGGGGAAGGCGTGCGAGGGCGAGGGCAGCGCGCACAGCCGGGTTGAGTTCGCGCGGTCGACTTCCGCGCGGAGGGGGAAGAGCTCGGTCGGGGCGATGGAGGAGGCGGGGAGGGACCGGGAGAGGGCGCGGAAGGTCGCGAGCGCTTCTGGGGGTGTGATTCCGAGCCGGAGGGAGTTAAGGAGGTCGACGAATTCTGCGTGCGTGAGTTGTTAGTCGCGAGGGACGGGGGAAGAGGGCGTACTGGTGTCTTTCTGCCTATACACCTGCTTGAGGTTGACGGTCTCCTCGATACTGCTCTTCCACACGTCGGACTCGAAGGCGAACACGGGGTCCCCTTTCGCGACGGGCGGGAGCTGGAAGAAGTCGCCAGTCACCACGAGCTGAGCAGAGTTCGTTAGATTGCGCACACTGAGGTTATTGACGTGAACGCGTACCTGAATGCCCCCAAATGGCTTGTCTGTTGGTTTCCGCAATCTGGCGGCGAGGTCGTGCAGCGTATCAAACAGCCGGCCGTCGACCATCGACACTGAAATCACTCAGCCTCGCCTCATCCTAGACGTGTAGTGTTCACCTTCATCGATGACGAGCACCTTGGTCGCTTTCCAGCGCTGGAACGCGGGCTTGCAGGTCTTGATGGAGGGGATGAGAACGTCGAGGTTGGACACGGTCGGGGAGACTGCTCCCCAGGCGTGGATCGTCATGCCTGCGGATATAGGCATATAGAGTTTAGTAGGTGTAATCGTAGTAGCGATAAGAAACGCACCGCCGATGTTGGACGCTGCCATGCCGGTGCTGGCTGTTATAGCCACTGCATTTGGTTGCTTGGCGTACTTCTTGCGCAGGGCGGCAATAATCGCGCGCAGGAGCAGCGACTTGCCTGTGCCTAGAACAGATCACATTGTTCAATGTCAGACCATGTTCGCCAACACTGCGGCTAAGAACCAATGTCCCCCCACGGGACATTGGTCTTTCAGAGGACGAGTCTCGGAACATTGTAGGGACATTTCACCCACCGATCACTGAAAGTCCAATGTCGGGTGGCGGGACATCGGTCTTTGCCCGCAGTGAAAGAACGGAACCACAATGCTAATAGAGAATGCCCCTCAAATCTGGAGACCACAGTAGATGCCCCACACTGGGGAGAAAGAGCGATGTCCGGCGGCGGACATGCAAGGAATATGTAAGGACGCCGGGGAGAACATTTTCTTATGATGTTTTCCGCAGGACAAAGGTCCTCGGGACATCGCAAGAGAATGGTCTCCCAACAATCGCATGACAATTCAATATCCCGCCACGCGACATTTGTCTTTGCCCGCAGTGCGGCGGACTTCCGTTTGTGCATTCAAAGGGCATTCTTCCTGCCCGAGTCATGGCCCAGCGAGGATCATTCAAGAAAAGTATTCTCCCAAGCGAAAGATGCACCAGATGTGCTCGCCGGCAAACATCTGTCTCTATCTGCAATGCAGTCAAGTTCATACACACTCACCCGCTGATCCCGTGAAAAAGACGTTCTTCCCCTCCACGACCATCTTCAACACCGCCCTCTGCTCGTCATTCAGCACGACGCCCCTGCGCTCAACGGCGGAGTTTGGCTTGGATGACGGCGCGAGCTGGACCTTTGGCGCGAAGAACGCGTCGAGCGTCGTGCGGCGCGCTTTCGAGGGTTTCTCGGGCTGGGGGTCGCTGGTCGATTTTCTTTTCCTCGACCCCGAGGCTCTGGAATTCGTATCGCTCTTCTTAGTGTTATTTGACGCGGTCTTGAGAGGTGGCCGAGTATACATGTTGTGTGGGTCGTAGAAGTAAGAGAGAGCAAAATCTGTTGCCACAAGTCTCAGCCCCTGTCTGCGGTTCCACGGTCACGAGACCCACACGCGCCGCAATCACAAGAAAGAACTGCAGCGCCCACGTGTGATCCTCGTTCCGGTTGTTTCTTGCCAGTCGAGCCTGCTTGCTTTCTCAAGTTCCTCTTTATTCTGAGCTCTCACCAGACATGTCAGGCAACAGGCGAGAACGAGCAGAAAATTACAATCCAGCTACGACGCCGAAGTGCGTCTTCGTTCGTTTCCAGTAGGAAGCGGCTGATAGCTGACTGATTGATGGTGTAGGTACCTCAATGATTTCAGCAAGGCCCTCGCGAGCGAAGTCCGTATCCTGCTCGAGGAAGTGGGCAAGCTGCGCGACGAGCGCCGCGCGTTGCAGTTGTACGTCTTGCCGATCTAGCACAGGACCCCGCAAAGTCGAACTAATCCGACAATCCGCCTGATACAGCGAGATCGCAGAGCTGATGAGCATGAAGTCGAAGCACGGCGCCGGCGGCGAGTACTCGCCCGACTGGAGGCCCCGAGTATGTCTCTTTCACCTACCCCATTCTTTGCATCCCACTAATACTCCGACCTGCGTAAACCAGGAAGCAGAAGCCTCCCCGCCGCCTCCGCCAGCCCCCGAGCCCGCCCCGGTCATCGAAGACCCCGCGCCCCCGCGCGAAGCCAAGCCCGGCTGGCGCGTGGTCCCCCCCAAGCGCGAGCGGCGCCGGCACGCCCAGCAACAAGCCGCCGTCCCAGCCAGCCCTCCGCCGCCGCCGCCGCCGGAGCCGCCGAAGCCGAACCTGCCTTCCTGGGCGCAGTGGAGACGTGCGTTCCTTGTGAATGCGAGATGAGGAGCATGCTGACCTTGTGGATTTTGTCTATAGCCAATCCGCTCCTGGCTGCACCGATACCCCAGGCCCCGGCCCCGTCTTCCCCGGGCCCGGTCGTGCAGCGCCGTGGTCTTTTTGGTCAGTCCTGTTAACACGTCTCTCTGTGAGAGAATACTGATGCAGATACCGTTAGGCCCGCCGAGCCCTCCTCCCCAGTGATCAACGATTCAACCTTAATGCAGCATCGGCATAAAGAGATAATCTCAAGCTCAACTCACGTATTATCGTATCTATATCGAATCTAGGGCATCTCGTCATCCATCAAGGTTTTCTTGTCCTCTTGTACATAGTGTAACAAGCGTGCTTGCTTTCTTCAGGCTTTAGGATTTTCTTCTTTGAGTTTGCTTTCGTCCGACCCAACCAATCAATGTATGTATGTATGTATGACCTCAGTATGAATAGATTAGCGTGTAGGATACATGCTCTGCAATGTATGTTGTACGTTCCTGTACTGGAATAACGAACGAACGGGTAAGTATGATATCGATCGGATATACTAAACGTTGGATATGTAACTGTGATGAGTAGTACTCGTACAATGGTGCGGCAAGCAAAATGATTGAGACTATGCTAAATAAAGCGCAGAGTGAGAGGGATGAATATATGATACAGAATGTTGCAGTCTTCAAGCCTGAGCATCGCGAACGCTGATGTACACGAAAAGCGTCGAGAACAGATACTGCGACAGCTGTGCATCATGCAACGGGAGGTGTCTGAATCCTGCAACCAACCCTATCAGCCATTCCCTCCAAAACCAAAACGCCGCGAACCACTTACCTGCATTCAAGCTCCCCAAACTCGCGCAATACACCGCCAACGGCTCCTCCGGATCCCCGCCCTCTTGCTTCACCGCGAACCTCACGAAAACGAGGTCCATCATCTCGCCCACGCAGTCGAACGGCAGGCTCAGGTCCTCCTCCCACACGGGGTTAAACCCATTGTTCTTCACGACGCACGTGCGGTACGAGATCGTCCTGGCGGACGTCGCGGTGAGTGCCGTCGGGCCCGCCGCGGGCGAGTACACGGGGTTCGTGGACTCGGGCAGGAAGGGCGAATGCGTCCAGTCGGGGACGTGTAGGGACACTTCGACGTAGGGGTCGATGACGGACTTGTCCACGATCTCGCGCCCCGCGGAGTCTTTGGGGCGCGGGAGCTGCTGCGCGGAGATTACCTGGTGAAAAAGTAAGTTGGGAGGTGCCGGAGGCTGCGAGAGGGAGAGGCACTTACAGTGACATCGAAGTAGTGGTTCGTCCGCTTCGCCAGGAGCTCCTTGTTGTACTCTCTCAGTGCCCGAGGCTTGAGGACATAGCCAGCCCGACCATTACGTTGGAACATGGCATGGTTGATCATATACCCGAGATCTGCGCGATAGCAACATTCGTGAAGCCTTACCCAATATCCGTGACGAGCAATCACGCACCGAACGTCTGCCAGTTGATCGCAACCAACTGCGCCCCCGCCGACCAATACCGATGTGGTTCATAGTTCGACGAGTTCAACCGGGTCCCCTTCGGATACACCCTAACCAGATGCGTCTTATTGTGTTTTATCAAATCCATCATGCTCTCTTTCAGAATCTTGTTCGCCGTGTTCTCGGAGAGCGAGAAGACGTGTTCGGGAGCGTACTGCTCCTTCTTGTTCAGCCCGCGGCATTTGACACCGACGGTGTACACGAGCAGTGCGACGAGCGCCATCGACATCTTGGCCTTCTGCCGCTCTGCGTGCGGGGGAGACTTGGCCCTGGAGGCCGGTCCTGGAGAGGGGGAAGAGCGCCGTGGGTGGCGAACGCGTTCGGCCATGCGCGAGACTTTGAGCATGTCTTTCTTCAGCTCTGAATATCTCTGATCAGATCTATCCATCAGAATTGAGGTAGTACGGAACTGACCCGTGAAGACTTCGTCGGAAGACGTATCTGTGCTAGTCGAAGATTCGCTGTCCACCGTGACCTCCTTGTCCCGAAGGCCTTCTTGCTCGGAAACATAAAGGTTCTTGGCCTACATATGTAATATGATCAGTACATTCCGTACGTGGGGGACCACCCAACTCACCTTCAAGAGCACACGTCCTCTCAGTTGCTCGGGGCTAGGCAGTGTCTGGATTTTCGTCTGCCCGTGAACAGGAGCTGTAATCAGAGCATCGCCAAAGGTCTCGCGCATGATCTGGGCAACTATATCCTGCTGTGGAAGAGAACAGTGTATCTCGGCTGAGATGATAACAGGATATGGCGAAGACACGAAAGCGTATTTGTGTATCGCCTGACAGATGTCGCGGAGAGACACTTTAGACGTCAGGGTCTTGCCGTGGTATATCATGGGTTCGGTATCGCCGTCGTAGACGTCGACTACAAGACAGATGAGTTCACGGTCACACTGGAGATTAAAACACTTACTTTCGACGCTGCGGCAGCTGTGCAGCAACGCTCTAATGTACCCCTCTATCGTGCTGACCCCGACCAGCTGGTGTCCGACGAGGTACGTATTATGGGAGGAGGATATGTAATATTCCGAAAGAGGGCGTGTCATGTCGTGGTAAACCTTGCCGTGCTGGTCGGCGAATGCAGAGTTGTCTAGGGACAGAAGGAATGCGGTAAAATTGTCTAGGGTAAAGAATGCAGGTTGAGGCGGTGAAGGGCCGACAGACATAGCGTGGGCGGAGGGGGCAGCCGCACTTGCTTGAGGCGACGTGAAGGTCGAAGATGCAGATGTCGGCGGCAGCGAATCGTTACCAGTACTAGCAGAGCTAGTAGAGTTAGTAGAAGAGGCAGCTGTACTCGGCTGGGGCGGCGAGGATGCAGGAGAAGCAGAAGCAGGAGAAGCGCTGAGCGGGACAGAAGTCGATGTTGGTGGTTGAGAAGCTGACGTCTGTTTGTCGGAGACCTTCTCCTGACCAGGGACTGTTGCATATCGTTCGAAGATCCGCTTCAATTCGGTGTCACTGAGGTTTGACTATCAACGCCAGAGAAAGTTAGCACTGCATACCCTGCTGGTCTGAAAGTACCTGCCTTCTGGAAGTCCTGCATGAACATTCGGAACGTCTTGAAGTCGAAACATCCGTCACTTGCAGTGCATAGCTTCTTGTACAGCCTGTCCAGTTCCGGACGCGCCTTCAGCAACTTAACAAATCGTTGAAAGTCCGAAAAGTCGAGATAACCTCGATTGTGCACGTCGGCCTCCTAGTGTCAGGGATCAGCACGGAGAATACCTCGATCCTCAGGTACACGAATCACCTTGAACAGCCGTTGGAGATTCTCCTTGGCAGCATTGAGGTTCAAACGTCTGCACATCCGTTCCACGTCGTCGAAATCGAGCTTCTGGTCCTGCTCGTCGTCCGCGGCCTTCCAGTACTGCCTCTCCCAAAGCGTTTGGCGAACCTCAATGTTCCCCAAGCCACTCATGAGTTCTTGACGTATGGAATACAACTTTCGAAGGGTCACTTCCCACATCTGGAAGACGTCGCGAGTGCTTGCGATGACGTGCAACGACTTGTATCGCCCATCGCAGATGTAGAAGAGGGTCATCCACCGGTCTTCGAGCTGTTGGGACAGCTGAAACTGCTCACGGTAGAACCGTGCGTCAGAGCAGGTCCGTATTTCCTTGATGCTTTCAATCGGAACTGCGTCATGGACATTTAGAATCTGCACATCAACGGAAAATGAATTATACTCACTAATGCGCTGCTTCTTCGTCTCGTACAGGATCTGGCCTTGATCAGGATCTAGCCTGAGTATGACCCTCTTCTGTTTCTTGGCAGAGACCTTCGTCATAGGCGTACCCTGCTGAAGCAGAGGAGGGACAGTGATATCGGCCATGTTGGACTTCTGGGCAACTCTGTCGGGCTGTTTCTCGGGTTGCTGGGCAGACTGCTGTTTCGGATGTATGAATTCAGTCGTAGACTTGGATCTGCCTCCATCACGCCCTTCGGCCTGCACGTGTCCGTCCACGCCTTGGCCGGGATCGGATTCAGACGTGTGCAAGCGAGGCCGCGGAATCGACTCCGACTGTGATCTGCTGTGCCTGAAAGCGCTACGCCTGCGCTGCAGCGAATCCATGATAGAGAATTCGGACGAGGAGTTGGAGGATGATTTCACGGACTTAGAGCGTACGATAGGCATATTATCCTTCAGCTTGCGCTTGAAGGACGATATCGACGCGCCCAAGCTGCCCTCGCTTCTCCGTCTCCAGTGCGAGTCAGGTTTATCCTCGTCCGGCCCCATAATCTCCTGGATCGCGGGTGAAGGTTGACCAGTGCTTGTCAACAGGTTGGCAGCTCGTCGTAACATGTTCCTGGACGTAGAGTGTCGGTCTTGGGTATCAGCCATGGCATGCAGGTCTCTGACCTGTGAATTAGGCGACAAGTGAAGGGTATTCGGGATGAGGGACTGACAGTGGAGTCTCGGGGGTATATATACTCGGTGCGGCCTGGTACACGGGCAAGTTACCACATCACTCGTTCATGGGCGCTTCGGAGCAAGACTATCGCCTCCTGAGTCAACGGGCGATGCGCAGCTGCATGCAAGGTTGGATGCGGTGTTGGCGGTACTCCGTGCTTTTGCAGAGGGGAAGCGCGTCGGATCTACGTTGGTGGCGTCTACAAACGTGCTTCTAATGGGCGGCGCCACTTCCCATCCGACATACCACAGGTGATGAATCCATATATTACGACACAGTAAATGGAGGTACAGCAGTAGAAATAAATTATTGACTCGGAAGGAATTAGAGTGTCATGAAATACAACCCTAGGGGGAAGATCCTCTCCTGTAAATTGTAAATTCGACATGATAACGCGTGAAGATACTCCGCTCCCCAAATAGATGCGCCTATTGCAAGGCAGCTCGAAAGGAACAGGAAGAACCTAACGAGACCCTTCAGCACTTGATGAAGTTGCCGACGATCATACTCGGTATGCCATAGGCATCCCTGCGAATGGTGAACGAGAAGCAGCAATTAATGAACCCTTCCTCCTTCACCAACTCTTGCGACTTCGTCGGTTTCCTGGCGTTCACCGGACTAATAGAGCCTGAAGGAGGACTCAGGAGTGGCTTGAATCGTAAGACGCAAGACGTCAGCACCGCTTTCTGATTGGCGTCAAAAGCGACATGGCCATATTTCTATCATTAGGACAGAGATAGAACAGGGGCATCAGCGGGCAGGACAACGGGCCGCAGCAGTGCGACTCACCTCCCAATAATTAACAGCGGATTCCTCAGCCATCAGTTCATAAATACACAGACGCCCCTATGACGAAGGCTCAGCTGACTATGGGGGCACAAGGAGGCAATTCACATACGTCTCGCAGCATGTATCCATCAACCCCCACGAGCTCTGCAAACTCGCGGTTACCTTTGTAGATCTCGCCTGTTCTGCGCCACAAGCAGGCCGGGACACCCATCACCGAGAACACACGATCATAGTCTAATAGTAGACGTTCGAATGCCTCCTCGATGAACACTAGGTCCATATCTTTCAGCGACTGTGCAATGGCCTAGAATGAATATGGTCAGATGGGCGTACAAATATATCTACCAGCATCTACTGACCCTAAACTTCGGCCTCAGGACCGACAAAGGCTGTAGTATGAGCTGCTTCGACTCTTGTGAGACACTGCACTGACATGAGGAACCATATCGTGGGGTCAAGATGCGCAGGCTTACTTCCTATCCATCCAGCGGGACAGCCGCGCATAGCCCTTCACATAATTATACGGCTTCAACAAACCAGCCTCATACTTCGCGCTGATCACTCTTCGTAACCGTTCGTCTCGAGTACCGGGTTCCTGATCAGCAGCAGTATACAGGAACTGTTCCGTTTTGTTCGACGCGGACAACGGAGGCGGCATACCGTCCTCGGCATTTGGGGGTTTATCGGCCGAGGGCTGTTCTGATTGTGACGTTTGATGCGCGGAGGGCTGCTCTGCAGGCTCTTCGGCTTTCGGAAGAAAGGAGTTGCCCGTGTTTGCAGGGGAAACGGTATTGGGAGCGGAGAAGGAGGGAACAGATACAAGGGGGGGTGCGATGGTGGTCGGAGGAGGGTTGAAAAACGATCGCTCGTCAAGGGATTCGAGAAAGTCGCTGCGGTAACGACGAGATTAGCACATTAACCCAAGAGACAAGATATTGCCCTTACGTCAGGACGGAGAACTCGTTCCCCAATGTTTCTGGTTGGTAGGCAAGATAGGGTGCTGGAGCGACAGCTATGGGCCACACTGGATTTGTAACAGGAACAGGAGCGGCAGCGAAGGGGTTCACTGCGGCATGATGAGCTGCACCGAGGAAGAAATGTAAGGAGATGTTACCCACTCGATATTGCCCGCGACATGTCTATGTTTGGTCCGACGGACGAACTTGCACTCTTGTCCGGCTTGCTCGATTGTCTAGGCTCATCGTGACAGAGGTGCCCAATTTCCCTCTTGATACTAAATTTCGTGTCGGCCGACGTCTTCAACGTCCAACAATGCTTTACTCACCAGCGTTGACAAGGCCTCCCCTCGTCGCAAGTCATATGGCTGCGCCGACAATACAAGCACGCATGATTCACTTTCCTCCTCTTCGCCTTCTTCTTGCCAGGCCCTGATGCGTCGTCGACAGCGGGACGTTTGCTTTGATCTTCAATAATTGGAGCTGGAACATCGGCATTTCTAGGAGCGATGCGGGAATACTCGGTTGGCTTGCTGCTCGACGTGAAGCTGGACATCATCTCAGCCACTTTGGCTATCGGGAAGATTTGGAGGACACGACAACGACATCGGAAGATGTAGGGCAGGTCCGCATCAGTCCCTCGTTTCCCACGTCGTGGCGCGAGAGACACTAGACTCTATAAGGCTGGTAGCGCCACCCTCCGGGCGGCAGAGCCCGCTACCTTGGGATATATGTACAGAAGATTTGAAGCTCATAGTCTCATGTGCTCTGTGTCACTGGTATGAGGGGTGCTTGAGAGCCAGGAAGCAGAATGGTCTTGCATATCATAATTTCCGGACCAGCGGTCAGACTTAGCCAGCTCCATATTTTCTCTTAGATTTGCTAATTTGACCCCCAACAAGCTAGATAAGAGCCTTCCTCGTAATTCACTGGTAGTAACACATTTTTTATGTGCGACCTGTATCGTGTAGAAACTAGTGGCAGTCAATCTCAGCTGTATGCAACATGACTATGTATAGTGGTGTATGTACCTAGTAACAATGAATCTAGTATACGCTGTCAGGTACATGAATAATGCAGCGTGAACACGAAACTCATCTCAGCCGTATGCAACACGACTGACGGAAAGGAAAGGGGAAAGGGGAAGGACGCCCGTATATACCCGAG